GGTGACCAAAAGGCTGTGAAATATGACTGGTATGGGAAGGAGCAGGTAGTAGATTAGCAGTCTGACCAGAGAACAGGGTTCTGTGGAAATGCAGGGAAGGGTAAGCTTTTAAAACAGAAGCAACAAAGCAACTGGAGTACCTGCTAATGGAGGAGGAGTCTGACTGCTTATTCCTTCATCAGCATTACCCACACTTTCTCTCTCAGCATACAAAGCTTTCCTCTACAGTGCATCACCTACTTACTCCACAGTACTTCATTTACTTCAGGATGAATGCATTTCAGAATCTAGGCACGGAGAGATGGTAGCTCATTTCTCATTTGTTCTTGCTATCTGCATATTCACGCAAACATCACAATCACTTGTAACTGAAGACTAAAAAAAGAACAGACAGCTCTTCAATTGGCACTGGGAAATCAGTTCTAGAAAGGACCCAAACTTGTCATCATTTCACAATCCATAATGAATTGAATAAACTTCTCCAAAAATAACTATTGCTTTACTTGGCATGAAGATCTGTGATCAGAATTCATTATATCAACGTCTATATGTAGTGCTTTAAAAGAAAAAAAATGTTGTTAAATTCCATTCTATAACAAATCATTCATTTTCAAATAGCCAAATTCCCAGGGCAGAAAGGAGCAGTAAGCACAAAAACAAAGAGTTCACAGCAACAGGGGTAGAGAACAGCAAGATACTGCAGTGGTCACAAATCCCAGAGAACCAATCTATTGACAACACATCATTGTACAGTAAAGTGAAATATCCAGACTCTTTGGAATCATATACACTGCTTCAGGCTGTAAGACAACCTGTGTAGAACACTAACAGACAGGTGATTACTATTGCTTTCTCTAATAGGAAGTTACAATTTATTTTTAAAAATACAGCCAAAATAGACCTTTACAAATTCAGGTTTCAAGACATTTACAATGAATTTTTTTATACCACAGCAGAACAGGTACAGCGATATTCTAATGCCTGTGCTGGGAAACCACAGCTGCTGAACAGAGTTAACAGAGCAGTGACTTTCACTGAAGCCAATGGTCACAGAAGAGAGGTACCAACAGGTTATAAGTGCAGAAGGTACTGCAGTGAAAGTGCTTTTGAAGCAAGTTTAAAGTAGAACAATTGTTTGTATCAGGAACTCTACCAGTACGAAACAAGCCCCCTAAACTCATATATATATGCACAACATACACTGCCAAACTAGTCCATTTGTTCTGTGTATCACTGCTCCCATCTGAAGGGACAGGATTCCAAATGTATCATTTCTTCCATTCATGTGATTGATACAGAAATGAATTTTCATAACACTGAACATTTTAAAGCTGTCAAAATAGAGCTTGTTCATTCATTGGCAAAGCAAATTATTAGTAGTAAGTGTTGCAGTTTAGTTGTATTCTGACGAGGTATGGAAAATTTCAGAATGCTGAAGATCAGAAGGTTTAAAAACATAAAACATAAAGGAGAAAAGGTCACAAAAATAATGAGGTACTTTAACATCTACAGTGAAGTGAGCCTTACTGCTCGCATTTGTGTTGGCTGAACAACAGTGTGACTGAACAGCAGGAAGGGCAGCCCATTCCTGAGAAAGCCCAGTTGTGCCTCACTCCTCATCAAGAGCATGAACTCACAGTTAAAGAACCCAAAATGATAAATGAAGAGTCTTGGTAAGAAAAGTGAATAATACAAATGCAGCCACCTGCACTATGGGATCCACCTTCTTGATCATCAAGAAGACAGGAGAGAATACTCGCCAGGCAGCACAGATCAGCACGCCTTTAACCTGGTACTGAACTTACAATGAACATTTATGAAGAAAAAATGCAACAAACATTGGGAAAAAGGTTACTTACCAGTAGGCAGCACTTTTTGCAGTGTGTTGCATATCTGCACATTCACTCTATAGAAGTCCAAACATTGGAGGTATCCAAGATTACGGTTTTTTGGGGAGGCCCTTACAATACCTCAGGTGTACATGCATCTGTCTCCCTCTTTTGTTTCACCTGACAGTCAGTATGGAGCTTACATTTGGTTAGCCACCAACAGCAAGGGGAAGGGAGGGCATGTGGTTATCGCACAGATGGACAGCAGAAGTAACTGGAATCTTTTGAGATAAATACCTTTTCTTTTTGGATGAGTATGCGCATAGCCACACAATACATAAAAACTGTATGCCACTTCTTGGCAATTTGAAGATCTCTTGAACTAGCTTTCCATTTTGTAACAATACTATACAGATATTGAGCAAAGCCCCAAACGCAGCCTGGGAACTACTAGAGTACATCCTGATTACTGGTGGTGACTCAACTATACTGCTATCAAAAGAGGGAATAGAGTCTGTAACTGAGCTTGGAGCGTCCTGTTTGACTTCTCACCTGAGAAAACTAGATTCTATGATATCTGCAAGTTTTTGTCACGTGAAAGGGTGTGACACATGTCTCTTGCTACCCAACACAGAATGCTTAGTCTCACATCTGGAAACACTGGATTTAAAAAGAAAAACATGGATGGGTTGAATTCTTGATTTAAGTGATCTGGCAAAAATCTCAGATGAAGCTCAGAAGATTTTGCCAGGAGAGTAACAGAAAGAGATGTGGGAAGGGAAAATGTCGGCCACTGAGATTTGAAACTTCTGCTGCCATGCAGAGGTGACAGGCATCCAAGAAGAATGTCACAGTGGTTCTTGTGCTTCTGAGTTAACACAGCCTAACAAAGATGTCCTGATCCAGCAGTCAGCAGTGACAGCAGTTCACACTTCCCTGAAGTAGGCCAACTTGTATTCAGACTACGGCGTGAAGGGGGAACAAGAATTTCAGAGCAAATTTCTATGGCCACATCCTTCAAAACACGGCTCTCAAAGACAGATATGCTGAAGGATTCAATCCCTAAAGATGTACCTCTCTACAAACACTGGTATTTTCTCAGCTGTTTCTGAGAAACAATACCATGCAAAAACCACGTTTGCTGAATCTTCTGGCCAGCTGCAAACAAAGAACTGCTTGTCATGCCTGAGGCACAGGTCCCAAAGGCTAAAAAAATATAAATCTGCAAGGGTGTGGGAGAGATTTGCAGTCTACTGCATTTAGAAGGAAAATGGGTTATCTGAATTTGGAGAATATTGGGAATCAAATTCTTCTAATATTTGGAATGCCTGGTAAACCATTTACAAATTATTCAGGAGTAACCTCCTGGCAACTTCCTTGAAAGGTTTCAAACAACTATAACTGTTCCTGCTAGCAACAGAGAAGGGCTGGAAGACAGGGTCCAGCTTTCTGAGGAAACACCAATAGAACAATTCACTTCCCATCCACAATTTGGTCCTACAGACGACAAGATGGCAGGGCCAATAACCACTGGGAGGAGACAAGCACAGCATATTCGCAGCCGTTGTCTTTCACATTTCCATGACTACTGCCCTCTTGAGACAGAAAAAAAGTCCTCACACTTCAGGAACTCCAGGGAACACGAATACAGAGCCTCAATCCTTCTCCTTTAGACACATGGACTGTGGGAAGGGCTCAGTCACGTGGGAATCTCCAGCATCTTTAAAGGCTGTTCTCCAGAAAGTCGCTACATGCCAAATTCAGAGCAGGGGAGAATGGTTCCATCCCATCAGATGTCCTCAGCACCAAGCATTTCCATCTCTGGATCCGTGTATGAGCAATCCACAAATACAGCCTCTGGTTAGAAGGTGGCCAGTGAAAGATCCAAACAACTCTATTAGTAGAACTAAAAAGGACACAATAATTCAGTGTCAGTTTTCTGCTTCTTTTTGGCTGGCTGAAATCCTTGGGTGCTGAGAAAAAACACAGAAATCACCAAAATCTCATCTACCTGTCCTCTCAATGGCCTTGAGGCATGGCCTTGGAGTTGCAGGTACAAAGGGGCAAAGGCCCCCCTCAAAGCTGATCTTCTGGCTAATTCTGGCTAATTGGGCTCTTCCTCACTCAGTGCTGCCACAGAACTAAAAAGTTCAGGATAAATGGAACTAGGCCTCAATCCAAGATTTAGATAAACCTGCAAGCTGCTGTCAGCAGCAGACCATAACTTTTCCTAGAATCTCTAATTTTAAGCAACAGATATTAAATGTGCTAGGAATATATAGTTTCCCATTGCAAAAGGAAGCTAGGAATGAACAACCATCAGTGTTATTTGACAATGAGGCACGTTCCTCAAGACAGGAAAGCATGTGAACCCATCTTTTATGGAGCCACGATGTGTAATTCAGTCTACATACATAATCTAGACTCATTTCTAACAAGGACAGGCAAAGCAGCAGAGACCAATCTTGTATAAACAGAAGTACTGGATTCAATAATTTCTAATTTAAAAAATAATCACATGAGACTGGCTGACTGGAAAAGACAGCTAAATAGCCAGAGGATAACAATAATTAAAAAAAATACCAAACCAAACCAAAGTCCTGTGCAAGAGAAATGATATGAACACATGCACAGAATTCTAAACAAGATTCGTTACTTATAAAAGTGGTTGAAAGAAAACTGAGACACATCTCAAATGCCTCCCTCCCCATGTGCTGAGTTTGAAAGAGGAAAGAGTACTGTGAAAAACCTTTAACTTTTGAGAGCAGAAAAAATAGGAGGCTGCTCTCTTTGAACACCTGCAGTACACAGTTCTCAATTTTTCAGAGTATCAAACAGCTGATATCTACCAACACACAATATTACAGCATAGTATACCCTTGCATCCACAGAACAGTCAGTACTGATCCTTTGCAGCTTTACTTTTGATCAACTGCACCAACATGTAAGCAGAATATTTTTAAGTGTGAAATTCCTCTACCTTCCCTGCTCTTATAACAATATCCACTGCTTCATTCAACCTGAAATAATCTCTTTCCAAAAGAATAGAAAATAAAAGTTTGGTTATAAATGTCTCCCTTCCATAGAAACAATGCCCTTTTCAAGACGTTTGATCTTATTTTCCATTTAATCAGTGAGAAAGAACTAGCAGCAAAACACTGGAAACACAACTCAGAGAGGAAACTTAATTTATTTGTCTAAAACACCAAACTAAGTTGAGATACCTTAGTTCAGTCAAAGCTTCTTCCGTTTCTTCACAAGCCTGCATTTCATAAACAAATATTCCAAGTTCATCTATCTACAAAAATAGGATGAACAATTCTTGACTTTCCTCAGATATCAAGTGAATTTACAAGTCCTTGAAGATCAGATGAAAAATAGGAAGCGATCCTATATTCCTTAAGACACTCCACCGCATTTCCCAAGTGTACTGGAAAGGAGGAACACGAGTCTTCTTTAGAAAGGTGCGTGGGAAGGCCTATTGCCATCTCTTGGAGACAGAGTATGCATTTACATCACCATGACTGCCATGGTACAGAATCCTTGATTGCTACTTTTATACGGCATGACCGATTATTTGAGTGTTGTAGTCTGCCGTCTCCATTCGCAGAATGTACGGGATGATGCTATCAATCTGAACGTTTCCTATTAGTCCTGCAAAGAACAGCTCTTCAGTAATGGCAGCACTCATCAGCCTCAGGGCAGGCAATCGGAGAAGAAGTCGAGACAGTCTGCAAAAGTAAGTTTGGCAAAAAGTCACTTTGGTCACACATTTTGGCCTTATCCACAGCCATGTTACTGAGAAGAAAACAAAAAATGAGTAAGGGACAACGGCGAGAGAAATTTGCTATATTTACTTCATGAGAGGCTTACATACTTAGATCAAAAAATGCTATCTTTACAGTCAGTCATTTCTTCGGCGGCACCAAAATTGTGCATATATTAGTCAATGGACTGTACAATTGGACTGTAATTTGGATTAGACTAAATGAGGAATTACTCCAGATAGGTGCAATTCAAAATGAAAGAAATACTTCCTCTATCTTCCAGTATTTCATTTTGGAAATTAATAATAATTAGGTAAACGATAATCACAATATGCATGAGCTCTTAAATATTTTAAGTGTTCTAAAAGTCATTTCTAAGCTTTAAGAAGGTAAGAAGAAAATATATGTGTTTACTCTAAGTAATACTGTGCAAATCAGTATCACTGATGCTCTGAAAAGAGAACCAAGTGAGCACGAAAGTGTACATACCTGTAAGTATCATCTGGATAGGCTTTTGTTACATAGTCTTGGAACTCCATGTATGCCTTTTCTTGAAACTTCTCAATCTGTACCACATTTTCCAGCCCTGGGTGATCTGAAAGACACCCTACATTGTTACACCTGTCACACCAAGATGTGTTAAAAGCTGTACCAATTATCTACTTGTAAGCATGCTGAAATGATTATTTGATAGCAGCAACTTTCAGTTCTCCAACAGTTTTAATGAAGAATGCTGCTTCACCTCCTTATTTCTCTTCCTCTATGCTGATGTTTTACCTTACTGTTCATAAAAACAACCAGACAACTGGAAAAGTTCAAATATGTGCAGTGCTTGCAGTGTTTACATCATTCCTGATAATAAACCTCTGTTCTCTGTGTCACATAGAACAGTACTGTTCCAATGCATTGATATTTACTGAAATTCTGTATGCACAAATACCATTTGTGAGAAAAAAAAAAAAGATAAATACACATAGGGAGGGAAAAAAAAAGCTATGAACTATTTGTTTCCTAAATTTTGCAGAAATGAAAGGTTATCTAACCTAATGGCCAAGTCACAATTGGAAATTATTATCTGGTGATTCTGACCCCTTTACACAGTTTAATCTTTATTTTCCATCTGGCTTAATGTAAATATTTTACTGTCATAATACCATGACAAATTGTGTGATGTTATTTGTAAAAAATCAATGCAGATGACAGGAGGTTAGCAAAGGAAGCAAGAGATTTTGAAGAGTTATTGTTGACATGCAATATATATTGCTTCATGACGTTGCTTCTAGAGCAATGTCAGAAACAGCTAGAAGTCTGCTTCCAAACCAGTTCTTGCAGACTGCTAGCATGCTAGTAGCAATCTATACAGATGCCAAGTCTCGTAGGCACTCCCTTGCACTCATCTCTTTGCCCAAGGCTGACTTGCTACAGTCATGCAGCTGGCGTGGCACAGAAGATTTTCATTAATCTTCCAACCTCCAGCTATGGCACACGGCACAGCAGCAGAGCCTACCAAAGCAGATGTTCTTACCTCAGGACTGCTGCACGTGCAGTCCAGCCCCATCCTGTAGCGGAGCAGTAAAATCCCTGAAATTGTAATTTCTGGCCTATAAATCATTGCCAGAATATCCCTTCTGTTCAGGGTACTGCTGTAAGTTTTTTTATGTCTTGCATGTATACTGTCAAGAATATTGGCTTATGAGTCAATATGCCAACATTAAAGCAGCTGCACATCCTCAGGGATGTGATCGTAAAACCACGTGACCTAAAGAAAAGTCAGTCCAGTCACCTGACTTGACACAGGCTTTTCCTAGAATATCTGTCCTACCTTTTCAATCCTTGAATGCAATTTGGAAGGAAACAAGCTAACTTTAGGCTGAACAAAGAAATAATTGTTGCTTTGAAGGTGTAAGCTCTCTAAGGAAATATTTTCAGGTCTGTAACAGCATTGATTTCTTCAGTCAGGTCAACACAGTCTGCTATAAATTGTTTCCTGGAGGAACCTGTGCCAGTTACAAGTATAGGAATGGCATGAAAGGACTGCTTTGGGGGTAAGGAATGCTTAACAGTGAATTAAATCTCCTGCAAGCATGATCTACCAAATTTAAAGCAGCAGACACCTTCTTACCCCTCACCTTAAGGAAGCCTCTGAGTCTGTGTATTCAATCCTTAGCAGGAAGGAAGGAAAAATCGTAAACATTTTCAAGCACTCTTAATATTGAAATTATTGGCGACCCTGCACATAGCAGGGGGGTAGAAACTAGATGATCATTGTGGTCCTTTTCCACCCAGGCCATTCTATCATTCCATGAAATTAGACCCATAGTGGATACTGCTTATCAGAAAATTGAAATAGTTCCTGTGCTTCGTTGGACTACAGAAGCAAACACAAAACCGTGCAAAATTCTTCAAGATAGAGGGTTCTAGACATTACTTAAAAGGCTTCTCATTTGCAGGAAGGTCTTTAATCTCAGAGGTCTTCCAAAAGAGCAATATCAAAAAGAGAAGGAAAAAATAAAAAGGGGGGAAAATGTGAAGACACACAAGGTTTTGTTATGCACTTAGCCAAATGTCATGTATTTGTGCTGATGCTGACACTTTCTCTGGAAGATGTGGATATTCTTTGAGGATACCACTTAAAGAAAAGATAACTTCAGTGTTCTTCTATATACATATCAGAAAACTTGCTTAAAATTTATACTTTTGAAGCGCCACAGTTCAAGAAGATTTTTTCACCTCAACTGATTTCTCTTGGAAAGGGTGAACTGCAACTGAACTGAAAAAGACAGCTCTTCTCAGACCTAAGACACATACAGAAGTGGCAGGGACCATCCAGCTCTCTGCCACATCCCACACAACAGACAGACTACACTGTGACTCACACAGCTTTTCAAATACATTCTGATCTTTTCCACAGAACATCAGCATCTAGAAAACACAGAGCAACGAGGAGCTGCTCATGCTTTTAAACTTTCCTAATGCAAAATAGAACAACTCTATATTTACCTGCTAAATCAGTGAAAAATTCCTGGTGATACAAAAATACTTGAGGTTTACTTTTTTTTTTTTTTTAATCAAAATATACTCGTTTTTATATTAAATTCCTAAATTCTGAATGAAATCTAAGACCTGCAGCATGAAGACAGAATATCTGAATGCATTTACTGAAAAGTTAATTCTACAGTTAAAGATAATTCTACAGATAAAGAAATTTAGTTTTGTCATTTTCTACAGTCTGCCTGCATTTGTCACGGAATCTACTCAGTCCTTTTCTGTCTTAACCAGAGAACCTTTACTCCTCCACAGTGTGGACTGATCACTCAGAAGGAAAAAATAGTCATTTTATTTTAGCACCACTGCCTAATGAATAGCCAGTTAACTTTACTTACAGGACATTATGCAAATACTGACCAGAAAACAAAAACAAAAGGAAATGCTATGTTTTATATTCATTTTCATAATACTCATGTGAAGTGAGGTCATACGTTACTGTGATTTTATATGCAAGAATCAAGGCTTGGAAAGGTTGTCATATATTAAAAGCATAACTTGGATTCACCTCAGCAGGAAGCACAGGAACAATACTTCTGAAAATTAAACTCCAGGCCCTCAGAAGTAGTACCCCAGAATAGAGACATACATTTAAAAGTAATAAATAGATAGCAGAGGCAAAAGCATCATCATCATCCAACTATTTCCATTAAAAGAGAAACCCTCTTCTTCCTACGGTCCTGTGTCATCCATTACACCTTCCCGGGTTCCTCAACAAGGGACGCAGAGATTCTAGAGGTAATAGCAGCAGCATCGAATGAAACAGAAATTATATGGCAAAAAATAACATACATACAGATACTTCTTTGTCACCTCATGAATCTTGTCCATTTAGCGCAGCCCTGACTTTCAAAACCGAAGACTTGATGAGCAGGCTCATCCCAGTTCCCACACAGCCCACTTATCTGATGTTACTTCCTTATTTTCTAAAGCAGTTCCATCTCTTTTTTCCTTTCTCTATAAGCCCTTAAAAGGACACGAGGAAAAAAAAAAACAACTTACCTAAAATATGCCTTTGTGGAAGACAGAAGATTTTAGATATGGATTTTTAAGCCAACTTTTGACCACTCAAGTCTCCATAGTCACAGAAAAAGAATAAAGTTTTACATTAAGAATGATTACATACCAGGACTGAAGAGTACAATTGCTTTCAAATATGCATATTCATATCCATCTAGGCAAAGCTTCACCATACTGTTACAGAACTCTTGCAGTTTGAAGATGTGCTCCATTACTAGTTTTCCTCTGTCTGTTGGCAGCTTGTCTGAGTTGACACACACACAAAATACAAAAACCCCAAAGTCAAGAAGCATGCAAAAGTGTAGTCACGTTGGAATTTTAAAAACATTCACCACTTAAAGTACATTCAAACAGCAGAAAATCTATGCCACCTACAAACTCTATACACTCAACTGAATTATCTTTACACCAACAATTCCTGCCACTTAAAATTTCCAATAATCAGAGGTGGACTACAGCTCCGAATGAAAAAGGAAAGAAAAGGTTACTTGTCAGTAAAGAACAATACCATGCTATTGCAGATCTATGCTGTACAACTAAGAGTCGGGTACTGTACTCCATTCATCGATGGAGTAGGTCAGTGTACATTTGCATGAGTTCCTTTAGTGGATGTGAGCACAGTGAGGTGATGCATTTCAGCAGTGGTGACAGCAACATGGCAGACAAGCCATGTCCTGGACAGCCATGCAGATTGCTACAAGTGCAGCATGCAGGCTCTTGTTCATCTCTGGCAAAATCATGCAGCTAATGGTGGTGACTGTGTTGAAAAATAGAGTCTTGTAGCAGAGCATTTGCTCTGTCTAATGACTTCATTGTGCTCTGTGTTTCTGCTGTAGTTTCCATGCAAAATAAATAGGAGGCATTACTTTCAGAGCAACCTGCATATATACATAAGCCAAATTATTTAAAGGGGTTGTATCACAAAGGAGGCATTTGGCTGCTGTTTCACAGCTACAAATAGCAGGGACGGCTGGGTCCTCCTTCACATCCTAGGCAGAGAGGAATCATATTCGCAGTACCCCTGTGTTCTTCAAGTTGGTGTTGCCTGAAAGACTCCTATTTTGAGTGACGTATCCTAACAGAACTACAGAGTGCTACCAGATATCACACACAATTAAAATGATTTTAAAAACCACACTGTGTTCTCATTATTTTGTTAACTTCCACGAATGGTAGATTTTCATTAACTACTGACAGATAAGTGACCAGCTTCTGCTCAGTTCAACTCTTCAAACCCATGAATTCCCTAAGTCTGCAGATGTGCTCAGTCAGCACCTTACCTTGCTGTAAGCTGTCGTGAAGGTGATTAACAAACGCAGCCAATATAGTCGCCACATTCATGACTTGAGAGCACTGTGCGAGACCAAGCGTAAAAAGTTCGTTCCAGCAGGCTTTTACTAATGATATGCTGTTATCCTGTCTATTAAATTGAAAAACACAATAATTGCACTTAATGAAATCATTCACTTGCTCTTACACAGTTTTTCAATTTGAAGAACACTTTATAAAACACTGATCTGATTCAACCACTGCAGCCAGTGCCAAAATGAAGTCCTGCACCAAAAGCATTTCTGTTTGCATGCTAGGATTAAATTGCTTATTATAAGTGACAATGTGAGTCACTCTTCTAAAAGTTAGAATTACACAGTGCATAATGCGCTGAACTTTAAAAAGGATCAGTAATTTCAAATAAATCTCCACTTGAAAAACAATGTTAGGATTTTCAGCCCTTCAAACGGAAAATGGCTAAATGGTGTTTAAAATACCATTGCCCATGATGTAGACTAGGACTGCAAGTGCTAGCACTCAGGAGAGTATTAACACAGGTGTTGTGGCAGCCTATTCTTTGCTTATTCAGACAAGTATACTGGGAAGTAATATATATATATATTTAAAAAGCAGATTTTCTATGCTCATTTATCTATTAAATCTTTTTGTACAGACTGATCTTTTGTGGCTTTTATTTTTTAGAAAAACTATGTGCTGTTACAACACCGCTTTGCAATACCTGTCTTACAAAAAACCTGAAAACATGTGCAGTGATGGAGTTCACCATGTTAATTTGCTAAGCATTTTCAGGTTCTGCAGCAGCAATTTGTACTGAAGTATCATATTTACCCACTTTTCTCCGCTTGTCATTGTTTAGTGTTATAGAACTTGACTCCTTCAAAAGAGAAGTTTCAGTTATACAGAATACACTATTTTAAACAACGTAGAATGATTTGGCTTAAGCACTTCAGTAAATACAGATCATCCGTGCTCTGCCAAGATCTCTGGTAAAGGGGACAATCCCTCACTATAAACAGGAATTCTCTTTGCTACCACCATCAGATGCTGTTTTGATATTCAACTAAAGAAGAACACAGAACATCCTGATCTACAAGATGATTTTGTGCCTCCTTTGTATCATGGCTGATAGATGTATATCGCATTGTAACACAGCCAGTTTGATGACAGTCTTGATCTTGGTTTCTGAAAGTAATAAAAATCACTTTTCCTCATGCTGTTTTGAGATCTTTTTTCATGATGATCAGCAAAGTAGTACCACATACAGCTTCAGAATTTTTAGTGATTTTTAGTGATTCTGCTTATAAAAAGAGAGTGCTGCACAAACTGTAAAGAGAATAATAACAATTACTTCCTGGCTATAGCAACCATTTGTTTTTGGAAAATCCTCTGCAACTAAACTTTGGTTCAGCAAAAATTCAGGATTAACTTAGCATGTTGTTCACATTGTTTATTAAATGCAAAATTATTACTAACTCACCTATAAAGACAGCAATATTTGGAGCTCCAGAAAGGAGCTTCTCTTTGGTGACTGATACGCATCTTAAGTTCAGGGGGTGCTATTCAAAAATGACAGGAAGTCCTACTTACTGCAAATTTATTAAAGAAGGGCAGTGAGCAGGCATTTGATCATTATGAATCTACTCCTTTTTTCTTCCAAACTCAACCAAGTATTTGATTTGAAATGAAGCTGGGAATCATTTTGATTGAGTGAACTTACCTTTGTGTTTAAGATCAATACAACAGTTTTATTAAGCTGGTTTATATTTTTAAAAGTCCTCAAAGATGGCAGTGCAAATAACAAATGAAAAAGCGTGTAATCTCAACATGAGCAAATAGAGTAATTGAACACCTACCCTAAAGCTTGGAAAGACGGAATGGAACGTGCCCAGTGCATGGACAGGAAAAGCAGCCTGGAGGCAGTCTCACAGATATAGTGAACGTTAAGATATTCGGGCATAGGAGAAGGCATGGTGAGCTGGCACAAAACAAAAAAAAAAGTGCAAGTCAGTTGTTTTGCTTTCTCTGTATGAAACATAATAAGAAAAATCATTTCCAGGATTGAAGGGAACAAAGTAACATTTTTTTCAATAACCATGAGATAATCCCAAAATAAAATAGAACAAATGCTTTTTTTGCTCCTTACTAGCCACACTGTGATACCCTAATGAGACTACAAAGCAACCAAAACAGTGAACAATTTTTAATCTTAACTTAGATAAGGATTTATGTCTGGAACACATGGAGATGAAAAATCTGAAATAAAACATTTAAGACAATCTGTACAGAAGCTGTAGAAGAACAGCTGCACAATTAGAACAAAGTAGCTCAGAGCATATAGCAAAGTATGTAGAAAATACAAACAGAACACCACCACCACTTTCACTTGCAGATCTGAAGGGGGATTCGACCCCAAATTTTATCCTCAGAAATCAGTTTGTAACAGAATTTAAAACAAAACCAAACTGACATTTGCATTGGAAATATGAGAGACCAAAATGTGTTTAATCCTAGAATCATATGAACCACAGAATGGCTTGGGTTGGGAGGGAACCCAAGGATCATCAAGCTCCAACCCCCCTGCTGAATGCAGGGCCTCCGCCCTCAGTGTCTAATACTAGACCAGGCTGCCCAGGGCCCCATCCAGCCTGGCCTTGAACACCTCCAGGGACGGAGCATCCACAGCCTTCAGTGGGGCATCCACAAAACTTCAGTTTAATGCAAACCATATTTTTAAGGTAAGAGGCAGTAAAATAAGCCGTGCTACAGAAATGGTGAGGAGAGCTGCCGATTCTCCCAGGCATACAGCCAACTAGCGAACAAAAAGCCGTGCATTCATCAGCAATGAATGGCAATACCTGAATAGCTACCCTTCAGAGAAATTCAAAAGATGACTTAATCAGATCATTAATTTGTCTTACGAGGTTAAAATGGTTAGAAATAGCCAAGGATAAAAAAGTATTAAGTACCCTGAATGCTACGTGTGCATCACTGAGTAGCGGCCCCTCTATTTCAACGATATTCATGCTTGTTTCTCCACCTCCAAGCTGCACGTTGGCCTCAACACTTTCAGAGTTTTGGCACGCTGCACTCTCTCCAGGATTTAATGCTTTTGCAAGAGTATCAAATGCCCTGTAAAATCAAGAAAAAATAAAACAAGAAAACTTCATCTTAGAGATAGTTACTAATAGTTTCTAATTTAGGAGGAACCCGCATACCTGAAACCTGTAGTTAGAAGTCTGTTTCAAATAAACAGACTTGGAAAATATAACAGTAATATACTTTTCCTGACACTCAACCAAGTAAAATTACTGAAAACTCCAAGTTACACAGTCTTTGAAGCAATAAAATTAGCAGCAGATCCTATTCACACTAGTTGCCAACAAATTCACAGTTTTGACATATTGACTGTGCTGCTGCTGAATCACAGTTTGTCTTTTGAGATCTCTTAAGTGATGTTTACTGAGAGTGCTGGCATAAGCATTTTAAGCATATAAAGATCAGAGTGCTGTTAAAAACAACTACTGCATGTGTAAATTTTGGAGATTTTTGCTTCTAAGAAGCACAAGCAGAAGGAATAAGCTTCTGCAAGTAATCAGTTACAGTTAGGCTATTCAACACAATTTAAGAAAACAACCTCCAAATACTTGAGAGAAAGCACTCACATTCATTTGGTACCATTCTGAGTATCCTTGATACAGGGCAGTGATTTCTGAGAAGACCAAGGCATGAGTGCTAACATTACTCGTGGATGTCAGAATGAGAATCATAGAATCATAGAATGGCCTGGGTTGAAAAGGACCACAATGATCATCGAGTTTCAGCCCCCTGCTCTGTGCAGGGTTGCCAACCAGCAGACCAGGCTGCCCAGAGCCACATCCAGCCTGGCCTTGAATGCCTCCAGGGATGGGGCATCCACAGCCTCCTTGGGCAACCTGTGCCAGTGTGTCACCACCCTCTGTGTGAAAAACCTCTTCCTAATATCTAACCTAAACCTCCTATCTCAGTTTAAAACCATTCCCCCTTGTCCTACCCCTATCCACTCTCGTAACCAGCCATTTCCCCTCCTGTTTGTACTCTCCCTTCAAGGACTGCAAGTCCACAATGAGGTCTCCCTGGAGCCTTCTCTTCTCCAAGCTAAACAAGCCCAGTTCCCTCAGCCTTTCCTCACAGGAGAGGTGCTCCAGCCCTCTGATCATCTTAGTGCCCTCCTCTGGACTTGTTCCAAGAGCTCCATGTCCTTCCTGTACTGGGGGCCCCAGGCCTGGATGCAGTACTCCAGATGGGGGCTCACAAGAGCTGAGTAGAGGTGGACAATCACCTCCCTCTCCCTGCTGCCCACCCCTTTTTTAATGCAGCCCAGAACACAGTTGGCCTTCTGGGCTGCAAGCGCACACTGCTGGCTCATGTCCAGCTTCTCGTCCACCAGGACCCCCAAGTCCTTCTCTGTAGGGCTGCTCTCAAGGAGATCTTCCCCCAGTTTGTATAAACACCTGGGATTGCCCCGACCCAAGTGCAGCACCCTGCTCTTGGCCTTATTGAACTGCATTAGGTTTTTATGGGCCCACTTCTCCAGCCAGTCCAGGTCAGAACAGATGTACGACTTTATTTCCCTGCTTGGTAACATATCCACGTTGTGCACAAACACACCTGAGAAGCAAATCTGATCTGTGTACAGACACAGCCCTGATTACTGCCTACAGGCAGATGACATACTGTGATAGTAGTATCATTTGAACATTGGCAGAAGAAAATCTCACACTGATGTTTAGGGGCTTTACAAAAGCTGATTACAGGTGTGCATACAGGTGTGGAGATGATTCTCAATTTGAATGCATATGTTTTTGCCACAGAATCTAAAATTACTGAATTAATGTCCAATCAAAATGCCTGATTTCTGAAGTAGAATTTTACCTACCTTCTCTTCTTCCATCTCCTTTGCTATTTACATTTATTAATACACTAAAAAATAATTTAAAAAAATTTAAAAAAAAGTGCTTACTGTGTTCAGTACAACCATTTACAATCCAAAGAAACAACACAATACCTAGCTGGTGATGCTGTCTCAGGCGATGGTAAATGAGCTGGAATGGTTTGGGGTCCTACCATCTGGGTTCCTGCACAGAAGGGAGACTGAGGCATGCCCAAGTGGGCACCACAGATGTACCTGGGAAGCTTTCCATCTCAAATATGTCAAAAGTGGGCATAAAGAGAAGACACTCTTGGGTAAGCTCTGCAGTTACATCGTTTTTCTCCTGTGAGGAAATCTGAGTCTCAGGTCTCGTGTGGCTCCCTCTTGGTAGCCTTGGGTATAATAGGCAAAACCAGCAGCGTTGTGGCAACTGCTTAAGAAAAAGAGGATCTCTTCAGAGCTCTTGCATGTAGCAGGGACAGAGATGTAAGCCAGGAACAAGATCTCCCCACTAAGTAGTGTTATGTGTCTCTACATATTATTCTAGTTTAGGTTAAATGGTCTTTTTTGAATGTGTTGGGCATGTACACTCTGTAACCACATCTGCCCATGTTACTTTTCTTCCAAGTTATTCTTGAAAGTCTGCTTTCAAAGAGTCCTCTCCTTCCTTCCTCCTAAATTTGCAGAAGAAAGCTTGCAGAAGTTCTGCTTCCCAACAGTTCCATGCTGTGGGTTCCCTTCATATGCTATGCTTCAAAATGAACAACGGCTGCAATATAAAACACTAAGGAAAAGAGGATCCAGACTACCTTGCCTTGAAGTTACAGAAACAAGACTCACTAAGTAACAAAAAAAGGTACAATCAGTGTTAAAATCCGTGGTATTGACACTCTGTTAGGAACAACTGTGCTTGTCCTTTCTTGAGCTCAGTCACAGACATGTGACAGGACTTCTGATTAGCTGTAAAATTCAAACATCGCCAATGAAGCCATCAGAGGACAAAACATGTAACATTATAACATAAAAGCAGCAGAATACCTGAAACAAAGTTATACTAAATTTGTGCCAGCAAAACTGAAAGCCTAACTACTGTATCTGCAAGCAACGGAATACAACAGAATGCATGCAAAACACTGATAGATAGAACCTGCTTTTTGAAATCCCATGAACTCATTTTTGTCAGTACACATCTGCATCAGTAAGATCAAGCTGGCACAAGGCCTGGCAAGGAAAGCAAAGATTTGATTAAAAATGTACTTTCTGCTTGGGTAACAACTTCCCTTTTACAGGAATATTTGAACTGAAAGTCCCCACTGGAAATCCGTGAGGTTACCCACTAGATAAGGGCATGCCTACACTGAGTCAGAGCTCTGGCTCACTCTGACTGAGAGAACTCAATGGCTTTTCACAGATGCATTTTTAAAGCTGAACAAAAGCAAGCACCTGGAACCAAAGAAACGAAAGATTATCACGCAAGCTTACTATTAACTGCACCTTCATGAACAGCCATTTGATGTTTATCAGCACAACATAATAGCACTCCTTACACTGCATATTATTTAACTAGGAGAACACAGCAAAGGTCCAGACCAGCAGCTATATTACAGGTCACATCAACTTTACAAGCAGCACATATGGAGAAAGGAGCAGAACAAATGCGTTCTGCTTGACATTACACTGAGTAGGTGACTGGACTATAGGGAAAACCATGTATTTTGGGTCAGTATAAACTGCTTCATTACTTTCTAATCTTTTTTTTTTTTTTTTGATTGGTTTATTCTACATACACATTTTCAATACCACATGTATAATATAGATGAAGTGTAAAAGAATACTTCTGAGACAGCTGTCAGAAGCCTGATGGAGTGACAATCAAGGAAGAGCATGATTCTCACTGAAGGAATAAACAAGGAAGTACTATAAAAGATACATCCCATTATGTTGAGTTAAAACCTGTGCAAAGACAGAAGTTTTTAAATACACAATCACAGAATCACAGAATTGTAGGGGTTGGAAGGGACCTCCAGAGATCATCGAGTCCAACCCCCTGCCAAAGCAGGTTCCCTACAGCAGGTCGCACAGGTAGGCATCCAGGCAGGTCTTGAACATCTCCAGAGAAGGAGACTCCACCACCTCCCTGGGCAGCCTGTTCCAGTGCTCCGTCACCTCACTGTAAAGAAGTTCTTGCGCATGTTTGTGCGGAACTTCCTATGCTGCAGTTTCCAGCCGTTTCCCCTTGTCCTGTCTCCACTCACCACTGAAAAGAGTCCGGCCTCGCCATTCTGCCCCCCACACCTTAGATATTTATAGACCTGGATCAGGTCCCCTCTCAGTCTTCTATTCTCAAGGCTAAACAGACCCAGACCCAGAATGAATGCATCTCTATCAGCAATGAGCATTCTTTGAGTTTTTCTGCCTCTAAATAAAAGGCTTTTCAAGCTTTTAAGGCAATTAACATTTAGGAGTAATGAACTACTTACAGATGAGATCTTCAAGAAACAGTTTCCCTTAATACTAAGAATACAGTACAAAAATCAAACTTATCTTATTCTTACCTTTTAGTCCTCCTTAACATCAGCTGAAAGACTTAAGTTGAAATTCACAGAATCACAGAATCTCCTGAGTTGGAAGGGACCCACAAAGATCATCGAGTCCAACTCCTGGCTCCACATAGGACCACCCAAAATCAGACTGTATCTGACAGCATTGTCCAAATGCTTCTTGAACTCCAGCAGCTTAGAGCTTTGCCCACTGCCCTGGGAAGCCTGTGCCATGCCCCCCACCCTCTGCCGAAGAGCCTTTGCCTAATAACCAAACTGAACAAACAACTAGAAGTATTTTCTGTCTCTAACTGAACTTTCTTATGATTTCCTTTGGGAGAATCCTACAAGACTGAACCGTAACATGAGTTCGTGCTGTCACTACTATTATTTTTAATGCAGGCAAATCACCTAAACCATGATAATTTAATTAATTATCTCTGAACTGACAGAGATATTCTTGAGAAGGGTAACATCTCAAATGGAACATGCTTTACCTTGTAACATCACTACTTCCTTGTTCTTCTTGCTGAAGTTCAGGTAACGATCCATCTCCATTACTTAAACTCTCAATCATAGACAGCTCTGTACTGCTTTGTGACAGATCTTTGGATTTACTGAGGTTTGCTAAAGATGTCACCACATTTGCCAGGGTACTTAAGTCTCCCTGACAGGCTTCAACCTAAGAGAAAAATACAGCTTTTAATTCTTTCTTATTGGCAGTGGATAACTTGAAACAGAAGAACTCCTTTACACTAATGAAGAACTGAGCTAATGAGAATAGACCTGTTAGAAAATTATTACTTTCAATAAATGGGCAATCATCATGCAGCAGTTAGACACTGCACTGTTACTAAAATATGAAATATTTAGATGCTTGGTTTTACAAGTAACAGCTATCTATTGCTTTCAGAAAGAATGCCACAGACGCAAGCTACAGGGAGAGATTTTAGCATCTCCACTCACTAGTCCATCATTGGGATTATAAAACTGCACTAGATTACATTTTTACCATCTTCTTTCCTTCTTTGCATTATCAAGAAAGTAGTAAAATTTTGAAGACAGAGGGAGGCAAAATGCACAAAAACAGTATGAGGTGATTTAATATTGGCTAGAAAAATACAAAAGCTTCCTACTGTGCATATGTAGGGCCATTACCACATCACTTTAGTGGATCAGTACCCATAACACAATGGAAACAAAGGAAAGCCCAGCTTGGAAATACATCAGAAAAAAGATCACTACTGAGACAGCTCTCATTAGCTTTGGGAAAAAAAAGAGAAAAAGAAGAAAAACAACACAGGGGGAAAAAACTAACAATATTTATGAAATGCACTGTGATAATGCCACAGTCATGTGAGATTTTGCAAACGCCTTACTCTACTTGAATCAAAAAACCTCAAAGCGTCAGAATTGCCAAATACAAAGAAAAATAGAGCTGCCCTTAAAGCTGTCTAAAAGGAGGGAGGCATTTGCTTTGTAGAGCTTTTCACATTCTTTCTATGAAGGGCTAACAGCATTCTTCTGAAGAGAGACATCTGCAACACTGGGCAATGTTTTAAAAACTGAATTTATCAAAAGCATAGCAAAACAGAACAACCTTCCATCCCTACACACACTTTCATATAACAATCAAACCAAAAGCATCAATACATCAGTCATGTCATCATATACCTTATCTGGAGTCATCAGCACTGTAGGCTCGCTTTTAATGCCAGACTGAATGTTAACGAACATTCCTGATTCCAACAGACCTGTTGACCTGGCACAAAATAGCACAAGTGTCAACTCTGGGGTGATTTCAAGAAACAGAGGTAGCTTGTCTGCAGTAGAATGCACTTACCTTGCTGTTTCATTGTCTGTTACAAAAGTTGGAGTTGCAGCCAATGGGCTGCGAAGATCTTTCCGAATGTAGATCTTTTCTGTAGAAGCTGCACAGTTAGAAGACTTTTCTCTTGACACTTCGATAGGTTTCCTCTCACACTGCACAGCTAATAAAACAGCACGCAACTAGTAAGTCACATCACAAACTACAGTCTAAGAAATGTCCATTATCTTTCTTCTTTTTACTTAATCTTCAATTTTCATAACCATTTTGAGTGTTCATACTTATAACTCAGAAAAAAAAACAACCTAGCCAACCAACCAGCTGAAATTATGGGTATTTTTCCAGACTTACAGTCTTGTTTCATTCCGAAGGCGATGCATCGCTGCAGCCGGCAGTACTGGCAGCGATTCCGGTGGTGTTTGTTAATGACACAGTCCTTTGTTCCTCGGCACGAATACACCAAATTCTTCCGTATGCTCCTTTTAAAGAATCCTTTGCAACCCTCACAAGTTACTGCTCCATAGTGACGTCCTGGTTTCGGAATAACATAAATTAAGACTTTAATTTTACACTGTATTATCTCTTCTTCTTCAGACCTTTTCTCAAAACACTCTTGTTTTTCCTCCATAGGTTACAGACCTTAAATCACGTGGATACAGAACAACAAAAATATAAGTGAGACATATTTCTAGCTCAAAGCACTTCAGCGGGATACATATCTCGAAAGGGCAAATAAACAACTTGCTTATGAAGTTCTTGCTGAACCTCCTGACAGCAGTGTTAAAAAGCTAAGAGAACAAGTTAGCAACAACACAGAATAAACTCTGAATTTACACATTCTTTTCCATTTTTTTTAATGCCCCTGGAGTCCAGTCCTGCTATTGCTCATTACAAATTCAGCTGTATAAATGTTACGCATTATAGCTAGTGGAAGATGGAATCTGCAAACATCGTATTTGTCAGCAGTAAGTGATAACTCCAAAGCCCTGCTTTCACCTTTCACTTTCCTAACAGACAATGTTACATCAGTAATTCTTTCAGTAAAACTCTAGAATGAGAGAAATAAACTAATAGAGCTAGATCAATTTTTTTAAAAAATCTGTAGTGAATTTTCTAATTTATAATACCAACATATAGGAATTGCTAGAATGTACTACAGAAAGTTGAGTTTAATTATTTTTCAGAAGTAAATTGCTTTGATTCTTCCATAGCACAAATTATAAATACTACTAAAAAGCTCAAGTTCTGATTAAGGCATTCCTGACAATTCAAACAGTGACAATTCTATGATCCTGAAGGAAAAAATTTAAACCAAAATCACCTATGAACACTCAATATACATACTGTGGAGGCATCAAGGCTGTTCTTTCACCTGTGCAGGGCACTTTACAGAAATACATTTCAAATATGAACTAATTTAAGGGAAAATATATTTTTAGATTCTTTCCTCATTCCTCTCAAACTTTTTTATGCCTGAAATTTCCAGAAACTCTGGTTTCTAGGTTTTCTAGATTCCTTTATCAGAACCGTATTAACATAGGACTAAATATGAAATTTACAAAGCATCATACGTAAAATATCACTAAGTGTAACATTTTAATAGCAGTTGGGCTGGTGAGTAAATATTCACATATATCCATATTCATAATATTCATCCTGCAAAGCACCTGGGCTTTGCATTTCAAATGGAAGGAACCCTTAAAGGTCACCCAGTCCAACTGCCCTGCAATGAGCAGGGACCCCTACAGCTGATCAGGGTGCTCAGAGCCCCTCCAGTCTGACCCTACATTTCTTCAGGGATGGGGCATCCACCACCTCTCTGGGCAACCTGTGCCAGTGCCTCATCACCATTATAGTAAAAAACTTTTTTCCTTGTATCCAATCTAAATCTCCCCTCTTTTAGTTTGAAACCATTCCCCTTCATCCTATCACAACAGACCTGCTGAACAGCCTGTCCCCTTCTTTCTTCACCTGCCCTTTGATGCAGCTTCTTGCACTCAGTTTGGAGGTGTCTGCAAAGCAGTCTGTGTAACAGTTCTTACCGCACAGGAGGCACCTACAGCCGCTCAGGAAATCATGGCTCTGCCTAAATTCACTACCAGGGTTCAGTATGTATGGGTCAGGCCAGAGCAAACTGCTCCTGGGATCACTCTCATGGGATACTCCAGCCCTGTGCTGGGATCCATAGGAGCTCTCCCAGCTGGAGCACTCCAACTAGATTTTACATTTACCTTATCTTACACCCTATATTTGGCAGAAATTTCTTTTGTGAAGGGTGAAATCTGACATACGTTTAGAGGAGCTACAATTTTAAGCTAAATTTGGCTTCAGTAGAAAGATTTTAGATTGTTTTCTATTTAAGCAGCTTCTGCTACATTCTACTGGCTTTCATGATGAAATCCTAATGTTATCTACGTCTCTTCCCTGCCTTCCACTCCCATTGCTTCCCAAAAGAAAGTATTTAATTGCAGTTATCGCATTTCGATATTATTACTCGAGGATCATCACACAGATTTCAACCAGATAAAGCATAAGAATGTTCTGAGGGAGCAATCATTTTCCCTACAGTCTAATTGTAGCTAAATAAGTAAAGAGTCAAGTTAACACCTCATTTCTCTTACAAACTACATTACCAAGTGAAAAAAGAAAGGAGCTTTCAGCTCTCCCTTCCAAGAGAAGTAATTTCAGCTCCCTTCTACCCTCTCAGTAATTTCAGCTCTGACAGATTTGAAATACCTGGTGGCAGGCACACATGCAAGAGGAATGTGGGAGACAGCTGGAAAAGCATCAGAGTTCTTCAGTACAGAACTCCCACCACACTTCCTTCCCATCTCTTGTTATCATTAGGCAAAATTTAGTGTGTGACACATTTTTCCTACCTTAGCACTCTATTTTGCCAGTGAATACACTGTCCATTTTTAACTGGAACTATAATGCATTTTTGCAGTTTTAATAGCGGTTCTCCAAATAATGAGCTGTCCCACACAAATCTCACATTAGCACTTCTTTTCACATACCTACAATGTCTTCTTTACCTGTTGGTTTCATATTTTAAATAATTAAAAGGTTTCTCACCTGTTTCTGACTTGACAACAATAACACAGTTCACTGCATGATCTCCTTTTAAGTAACAAAAAGCTCTTAACAGCAAGTCACCTAAGTCATTTTTTCAGCCAATTTTTACAATACAAAATAAAACGTATTAGCCTAAGGAAAAAAAGGCAAAAATTATCTGGTAGAAAACATATTGAATTTCTAAAGTAAAATAGAAGTAAACAAGTCCCACCCACAGACATTAAAGAAACATTTCGTTTAATTCTCTGCTGAAAAAGGCAGTCTATCTTTTCTGTTTATGTATGTACATACATCTATTTATACGTATGCAAACTCTTATATCCCTTAAGAAGAACTTTAAACTGCTGCTATAAAGTTGCACTACCTTATTAAAAACAAGCAAGTGAAATACCTGATGCCTTGTCTCCACACACAACACACAGATCAAACACTTTATTTAGGGCCTGCTCATTGGGAGAGTTGTCTGTTAAAATCTGAAAGAAAGTAGAACATAATGTCATTTTTATTTTTCTCACCATCAAGAAATATCACAGTAAATCACCTTTGTGATTTCTTCTAAGGGACCAAATCGACAAACTGTGAGGTTTTCTTGACTACGTTTTACAGCCTTCATAGACACAAAGGAGCAGAGCTACCTGCCATGCACTGTGCTCCCACTTTTACCTGTAATGTTTCCAAAAAGAATTCAAGATTTATTTAAATATTACCTCTGGAAAATGGGCTGACATTTTCAAAAACATTTATTCTCTGCATACTCGTTTTGTTGAATACATACCTTCTGTTGAATTCTGTATTTACATTCTACTGAATGCAAATTATTTTTTGAATCTAAATTATGACTGCCATGTAGAGGCTGTTATTTCTACATTCTGATTTGTCAATTCTTTTTTTTAATAATAGACAGAGATGGTGGGCTGATAGAAAATGAATTCTAACAGTGCCATGAATTATCAAATGATGCACGCTTTGGTTTTTAGTAACAGTTTGACATTATGACTACATTCATGTCTTACTCATTTCTCTCTGACACCTGAAAAGCATCATTAAGCACATCAGAACCACAGCGCTGCAGGGCAGGCACTGTGGCCTTCCACTGGACCTTAAAACGATCCATCTCAGTGAGTCAACAAAGCACAGAAAAATAACCAATGTAAAAAAGGAATCCAAAGGATCACAACAAGAAGCAGCAAGCAAATATCATCTTGACAATAACATGAAGTGGAAAACAGCACATTCTTCCAATTAAAAAGTGATATAATTTAGAAATGCTATGAGTTTCTAACTTCTACAGCATCTTAATAGGAAGTCTGACACCCTCATCCTCTCTGTGCTTATTCAAGACAAGACCTCTGATAACAAGAAGGGTAACTTTCTGGAAGAGAAGGTACCTCATCTTCCACAGAGAAAATTAAGAAATCACTTGTTTGGAAAACAGCATAGGCTTATGTAAGGGAATGTTTAACAAGTCTCTCTCTTTCTAGTTAGCCTTTATTAATTAATAACGCTGCCTCAGAAATTCACCCATTATGTTTTTCTTTCAATATAACATCTTCTTAAGAAAAATAATCATGACAAGTTAAAAAAATGTTAACCTTTCATTTTGTTCTAATTCCCATTGTTATACAAGTTCATGACCTTATATAAAAGAAGAAAACAAATTTTAAGTCCTTCCATAGATGAAACCTGCTGCCCTGAAGCTGTAAGTTCCATTTAAGGAAGGACTACAGAATTTGGCCCAGGAGGAAATAAAAATCCCAGACACACAGAACTCACCAACTGACTTCAAACACGTAGAATAAACTTGTTTACTGAGATGAAGAGCCACTGAGGGTGGAACAGATGATGGGAGAAAGAGCCTTGCAAAGTGTCAATGTAAAGATAAAATGTGAAGGAGAGATTTTCTGCATAGCAAATGAATGAGTATTTCAAGTGAAGGTGATGAAATAAGAAGAATGATGTGAAAGGCAAAACTGCAGACAAAAGATTGTGTAGGACAGAAAGTATGGAAGAGCCCAAAGAATATGGAGTTGAAAAGCACATTAATGGCACTATTTTTTATCCTCACTGAAAGTCAGTGAAATACAATCTCTGCAACTATATACTAGCTGGCAATAGAACAATCTAACTGCAGTGAGAGCACATCCTGTTGTTTCTCAGACCCTCCCATGTTGCCCAAAATGTACAATCAAAACTACAGCTTTTAATTTTTTATCCAGACTGCCTCTCGATACCTCAGCCTTTATACAACGGTACACACTTCTCATCTTTTAAATTCTCCTTGAAAATAACTTTCTTCTGAGGATTACATCAGATCTTACCCTGCTATTTTAAAGTTTTGTTAAAGTTTACCTAAAACACAAAGACACAGGCTGAAATTTCAATTGAACTGCTTTGTGCTACTGCCTGCACAACACGTGCAACATGCGAATCGGAGCTGTGGACTGGCTCCCAGAAAAGCAGTAAAGTAAAAGATCAGGACTCTTCCCTTGGGAAAAGAGATTACTTGAAGGAGCTATGACAGTGATTTATAGAAGCAATAGAATCTTCTTACTTTTTTTAGTTTTATTGCCATAGGCTATTATACAGACCAAGACACAAATAGTCTGTTAGAATGGTCTCTTAGAAATAACAAAGAAGTCATTAACTTTAGTGGCAGTTATCAAAGAAGGCCTCACTGCAATCTCCAGGTCAGGAGGTCCCTCTAAATCATCAAGTAATGGAAGGGAAAGGATATGCTCAGAAGGATCATTATTTTCTTTCACAGTTTTTAACACTTACTTAAGCACCTGTTTCTGGCCACTGTGCAGGTGTAAGATACTGCACTAAGGAGATGGCAGCTACCCTCCTGTCACCTGGACTGCCACACCAATGTATGTTACCATCAGAATAAATGTACATTGGTAAATCAACATGCAGTAACTATGTGTTAGCTGAAGTGCAGTAATACCCTACTTCACGCAGAAGGAGCTCACATCTCCCAGGTCTTCTGTGCATGTTCTTCACACCCTTGGAATCAGTGCCATCGCACACTGCTCAGCTGGGCATATGGGGCAGAAGACTTGAAAGCTGGAGTATGAAGTCTAAGGAAGCAGCACAAACTGTGTGTGCAGGAGTGAAGAGCACCGTGCATCAGTTTAGGGAGATACAACCCTGACTATTGACAATCTGAAACCATTTTGGGTTTTGTAAATGCAGAATCTTTAGTGCTGCTTTCTCACTGCCACTGAGTAATGATCTTCCCTGCTCATAGTCTGAGAAACTGCCTTGGAATACAATTCACACAGTAGTGGACAGTGTATGAACAATGGCATATGAAAAGGAAAACAAGTAGAAGGAAATGTTAAGTGATAAAGACAAGGATGAAAAGATTATTTTTTCAATATGTGAATATAGAGGGAGAGTCAATGAAGCAGCAATAAAAAAGGACTGTTGGTACAGCTGGAAATGACAATAAAAGTAACAGTATTCTTTCTAATCTCACATGCCAGGGTATAAATTTTAAAAGCAGTACGTTTACCAAAAAAATTTGTTTTCCTTGTAATTTCTAAGCAGTAAAGCTAACTCCTAATGCAAGGGAAAGTAGAGCATTAAAAAATATAAAAACCTCAAAAAAGGAGAATGCAGACATACATATTTGGAAATAAAACATCTCTTCTTATTCCATTTGAATCAAAATTATGAAATAAAGTGGATTATCTACCTGGATGTGTTGTGCAGATATATCAGGGGATGCAAAAAACAGTTGGTTGACACCTGCAGCATCTGGAGTTGCTAGGATAACTTTTCCTGGAGTGGAATCTTGTCTGGCAAGGATCACCTTGCTTGGGGTAGAGCCATCATGATTTGTTAGGATGAACTGCTTGCCTGCTGAGTTCTGATCAAGTGCTGTAACAATCTGAATCTTCTGGCCCGTCTGCTGATCTGTGACAATCTAATAATACATTTATCTCAAATTGTTATGGTAATTTAAGATCACCTTTGGGGCCCAGCCTGGGCACTTGAAGAAAACTGGAATTTTGCCCTCTACATTTGTGAAGCAGGACTGTCTTCCCCTCTGTCACACAAGAGTTACAAAAACTAAGGCAAAATCTTGGATTTTCACTTGCTTTTAAATGCACTCAAGTCACTCTTACGTTTGAAATCAAAACCTGAATTAAAATCCAAGTTTTATAAATGGCCAATGCTTTTACAACTGCCAAATCTGCCGACAATTACAGCATCCAGAAATTGAGGTGTGTGTAACTCAGCCCTAAGACCCACAAGGTTATGAGAAATCTTAATTCTTGGACTCACTGCATGCCATGCACAGCCCTTAGCACCTTCCATATTGGGACGCCTCACAACAAACATCCTTCAGCACCAACTGTACACATCAAAGTGAAAAAAGAAAAGTATCAAACAGCAAAAAAATCTTGTTGAATCTTTACAAACAATTTGTGCTTCAGGGTTTTGCTCTGTTTTTTTTACATATATGTTCCTAAATAAAATATGCAAGTAAAACAGAATCTCTCTCCCGGACACTTTTTTCTTTTTTTTAAACCCATAAACTTTTCATGTGTCATTTCTTAATCAAGAACAAACCTACAGGCTGCTGGGTTTTGGTTTGGGTTTTTCTTTTCCATCTTTCCTATTTTCAAACACAAATATAGCAGACTTTTATTAAAGTACTCTCCAATAAGCCCCCATTTTTAGATTAAACAAAATTTGTTTTCAGATTATTGTTAATAATATTGTTGATATTTGTTGATAATTGTTTTAAGGTTAATCCTTGGATAAACTAATCAAGATTCCATATATGTTCCATTACAAAACTCACTTTTATCACTTCTTGCCTTTCTCTCCAAAAGCCTTCATGTCAGACTGCCTGGCTTAGTATAGGCATTAAGGAGAATCGTTCTGCAGTGACTGTTTGCTGCAAACTATTTTTTAACTACAGATCAATCAAATTTGCTAATAACACTTTTAGGTGTCCAACTTCTTTTTTTCTTTGCAAAGAACTTTTTTAGGCTAGAATTATAAAATTCCAAGGGCTAAAAATATAAAACAAGAACTAGAGCTGTCACAAGATTGGGGTTGAGGGTAGCATGGTAGGACAAAAACCCCACAGCAGTTACTAATATGATGAATAAAGGCTTTTCCATTCGGTTTTCAAAGACATGCACACATTCAGGGCCACAAATGACTACTGCAGTCCTTTATTTCCTCTTTCAGTTCCTTTCTGATTCCTTAGAAGGCAAACTTCCTTACCCTTTCAGTTCCTTTCTTTCCCTAACTTATTCCTCACATTCCATTTTTCATTTTATAATCTTTATTTCTCATGTCATTTCTGACTATTACCCAGAATATTAGTGAATAAATTACCCGATTTTCCATCCCCACCTCCAAACACCTCTACTCCATTGGGATCAGAAGAAATCCAATGCATGTAATCCTCAACTGGGTGCTAGCATGTACACAGTCAAACACAGAACACTGTGCTCTTTCTTGAATATCTAGACCTGCTCTTTAAAAGATACTCACATTGAAGATCTGTTTCACTATCAAAATTTCAAAGTGCAAATGTAAACATGAAAACAGAAAGGCATACACCTTATCTAGTTAGGTTTACACAAAGTATATTAAAAAACAACATATTCCAAGCTAAGGTTGAATTTCTTATATATATATGAGCTGAATTATCTGATTTCCAGCTTATAGTCCACCTCTTATTTTTAAAATTGTTATGTATTTGTGGATAAATATGGCAGAAGAGCCATTTCTACTTCACATGGTTCACTTCACTGCTACTAAACAGTCCTAATTCTTCAAATTGCTTCCTGGAATTCTAGGGGGATGCCCACATAGTTTTCACTGCATGACATAGTGGATACATTGTTATGCATCTATGCTGAGCTATTCAATCTGCACACAAGCTTTCTGCGCTCTCCAGGTATGACAACTGATAGATGTAACAGAAAGCAGTTTAAATAATGAAGAGCAGTTTGTCTGCAGCAGAATTCTTACAGCCAGATGCCTGCAAAAACTCCACCTGAATCTCAATGGGACTTAGAAAATGGAACAACTCAAAGTATAACAACCTTATAGTAGCCCGAATTCAGGTACTTTAAATGTTGAGGTAAGAGAAAATAATCAGAAAGGAAAAGAAAAATCCACCTGGCCCCAAAGACAACACATTATGTTTCTTAATACTGTGAAACTCAGTGTTGCCTACAGTCATGCTACAAAGCAGGAATATAATAGCTCAGGACTGACTGCTTAAAAACATATTTCTTGTGTCTATTTCATTTAAGAGCCCTGATGGTAAGATAGTAATTTTCTTTTTCCTTCATTGCCTTGCCTGTTACTCTTCTAGGAATAATCAAAAACATGTTGAAACACAGAGCACTAGCTTAAAAAAAAACCCAGGGATTTGAAAATTTAATAACAGGACATCCAACTTTTCTATGTGTTGGCTGTAAGTGGCAAGGATTTCTAACTGGGCACTGCAGGGAATGGCTCTATAAGCAGAGCCCAGCAGTGCCCCATGTCAGATCAGAGCCAGCTCCAGCTGCTCTAAAAGGGCCCCACTGATGCCAGAGCTGAGCCAAAAGAAATGCTGGGTGTGCCTCTGGCAGAGCAGAGCCAAGGAAGGGAAAAACTGCCACACTGCAGCAGCTGGGAGAGAGGAGTGAGAAAATGTGAGAGAAGCAGCCCTGCAGCCACCAAGGCCAGTGCAGGAGGAGGGCAGGAGGTGCTCCAAGCATGGAGCAGAAGCTCCCTGCAGCACAGGAGAGGCCCACAGAGGAGCAGGGCATCCCCTGGCAGCCCATGGGTACCACACAGAGCACTGCAGCCATGGAGGAGCCCATGGTGGGACCCGTGTGGGCAGTGCATGAAGGGTGGGCCCCATGGTATGGAGCTGCACTGGGGCAATGGTTGGAGAGCTGCAGCCTGAGGGAAGCACGCGTGGAATCAGTTTGGGAAGGATGGCATCTGGTGGGAAGGACCTCATGTGGAGCAGTGGCAGAGAGGGACCATGGAGGATGGCACAGATGTAGCATTATGAACCACAACCTGCATTTCCCTGTTTGAAGGGAGAAGGCAGAAGAGGGTGAATGGGGAGGAAGGTGTTTTCAGCTGACTGTCAGTTCTTACTGCTGTGGTCTTTTATCAGTAGCAAATAAATTCTATTAACCTCTTTGCTTTCCCTGTGACAATATCTCGAGAGTGATCTTCCCATCCTTATGTCAACCTACAAGCTTTTTTTTTCCATCGTGTTTTCTCCCCATCTTTTTGTGGAGAATTCAGTGAGAGCGGTACAGAGGTGCTGAGCTGCCTACCACAGCGAAACGACCACAGAAACAAAGTGCTAACGTGCCCTAAAAAGAGTAACTACTGAAATATGTTTTAAAGTATATTTTAATCATGATTTTGAATTTCAAGATCTCGGATATCTCTTTATATTCATTTAAGAATAACCAGATAAAGCAAAAAAAAAATTATAAGCTCAAAACTAATCTAACATTTCACTGAGATGCATTTGGCTGTACAAGCTTTTTCACTTTTCACTATAAATTCTGCTTTGTCGAAAGTTTTTGTTACTGATTTCTGTCTCCTATTGAGTCTGTTATTATTTATATGGCTGCCATGTTTGTAGATGCCTACTACAGGAAGGACATCATTCTCCCGAGTGCTGTCCCAAACATATCAAAAGAAAACCATTATCCCAAAGCACTTGCCATCCACTTTGAAGCAAGAATTGTTGAGTGTGGTAAAAAAAAGACAAGGGACAAAGCAATAGAAACAAGTCATCTTCCAACTAGCTGTGATGATCAAAAACTATATAAAGATCCCCAGAACAAAACTGTCCCTATAAATAGTTCTTCTATGTGCATAATATTTGCAGTAGCTATAGTCATTCTCCAAATGTAGTTCTCTCTTCTACCTGAACCCTGCTCCAGAAGCTGACACAAGGGTTTAGACAACTGACACTGATTTTGAAACAACATAACTGACTTGCTGTTCAACAATAAAGGCTCATGGTTTTATACATCACCCTGCACTCAGGCCCTGATACTGGAATTACATTAAATAGCTTTGCACTACAAGGGCTGGGGGCAGCCACTGCTCAGGGATTGGTGGGGCATCAGTTGATGAGTGGTGAGACATTGTGTTGTAGCTGGGCCATGGGTTGGCAAGCAGTTGTGATGTTGCTAGATGTTGGTCAGTGCGTGGTAAATAATTGTATTATGGCTATATATATATTGTTATCATCGCATATTTCTTTCAGTTTTCCTCTTCAGTCTTAGTAAATAGTTTTTATCTCAAGCCACAGTTCTATTTTGCTACCAGTTCTCTCCCTCATCCCACTGCGAGAGCGACTGAACGGCTGTGTGGTGTTCAGCTGCACAACAGCATACGTACAGTGACAAAGGAAACAGTATAAAGAGACAGCACTTAATTAATATAAATTAATTAAAGGTACAGCTGTACATGAACCATTTAAAAGGAGTGGAGGTAGCTGAAAAAAAGATCTAGTGGATAAGTAAGGCTAGTACCAGGACCAGAGTACAAGAAAATAAAACACAGGATCATGTATGGGGTGCCTGTGAAGACTCTTGAAAGGCAGGGCAAAGCTTGAATGCAATGCACTGAAACAGGAATAAACAATGAAAAACACTGAAGAGTGAAGCAGCAAAAGTAAAAGCCGCCAAGGCCACAGTAGCAGCTGGCTCACAAACTAGTGGTTTTGTATGCACCAACACCTATCTCTTCTGCAGTTGATATTTTTCTCTAGGAGGAAATACAAAAATAAAAAGCTTGCAAGGACTTGCACTGACTTTTAAGGAACAAAATACAAAATCTCATCCCCAAATCTTGCTAACCTCCATATATACACATCTATGTTTATCGTGGTTTGACTACCCACATTCATTGCCAAAAAACTCCTACCTCACTTGAATTGGAGATTTATTACCTGGTGAGGCTATAAATTAGCTTACTGGGATGTACAACATTGGTTGTGATGGCCAAAAGCCAGCATCCTTTAATGCACTGAAGAGATTAGACAGCCTTTTCATTTCCCATGACTTGTATCAACAGTGTGATGCAGTATTCCTCCCATCTCTGCTCCAAAATATTGAAATGTTCTAATAACTCAGATGAATTACCAAATCTAAAAAGTATTCAGTTTTTAAAGAGCAGTATTATTACAGTTTTAGGAATAACATTTTTTTTTAATTCAGCAGTTACTATTTTTGTACCTCTTAAAAATCTTAAAAGAAAAAAAAAAAAAACCACCAAGCATTGGAATAATCTTTTTCTTCCTGTTTATAAATAAATAATCTCTGCTACCCAGAACTGAGTATTTGCACTTCAGACAATAAAATGAAGCAAATAAAGAAGGACCATAAACAAAACTTGGTGAAAATAAAGACTTCATTGCTGCTTTTAAAACATATTGGATGAAGCATACCTGTATACGCTGTGGTAAAGAGAGGCCTGAATCTGAAGGGACGATCTGTATTCGTTGTGCTGCCCCATCCATTAGTGTTTGTGTAACAGCTCCTTGGGAATGGGTAATCTAGAAAGAATAAATAAATGTAATAGATTGGCAGTGGATAGGATACCTTATGGAGAGATATACTACCTTAATGGATGTAGTACCATAAGGTTTTATCAACTTCTGATTTCTCTGCACAAGGCTAAGGAAAGGGGTGACGCTTACTGTGCCAGGAACACAAGTGCTTGCATTTGCATCTAATTCAATCTAATTCAACAGTGTAACTTTGCTGGTTAAGAAGTTCTGTTCATGGCAGAGTTCTAAAGCCATTCTAAAAACACCTTCAGTTAGACATTCAGAAACACTGAGCAGAACAGTTGTTGACAAATCCACTTCAGTCCATTGGACCGAGTATTTTTGAATTATTACTGCTGCTGTTCATGAAGCACTTACTGAACACAGTACCTTTCATCATAGTTGCATTACATTTAAACTAACATGTTTTTATCTTAACAGCTTATATAAAGCAGCTGAAGAATTTCTGGAGTGGAGACACAGCAATGCACAGAATTTTGTTCCACAGAGCCTTAGAGAGACAGAACCAAAGCAACAGAATTCTCTACTGGGGAACTACCAAGTAGAACCTATCAATTAAACACATGAGTTCAGCAAGCATTATATCCAAAAACAAATTTAAGCCTCTGCTCTCAGATACAGCTTATGGAAGTGCTTTAATAATTATCAGTAATTTTTGAAAATTCTTCACATGCTGTAGCCAAATGTATGTGGCTATTATTAATTAGATTATTTGCCTGCAAAAAACAAATACAGTTGCCATCTACAGAGGCTTGGTCTGAAATGTGGGGGTTTTTTTGTAGTACAAAAGACATCTGTCTTCACAGAGTTTTCAGATACCTTTGCATTTAATTATTTGTCCCTAGTAACTCCCCTAGCATTTTGCAGCATGACTATACAGATCAAAACTCTGTCACATCCTGCAGTTCCTCTATTAATAGTAATTCCTAGCATTTACTTATAAATTCATTCACTTAAAAATACATTCACTTTAAAAAGTACCTATTCAACTTTTTTTTATGCAGGAACTGGTATAAGGAATATATATCCATATCTGTACTGTTTCATGATTGGTTAAGAGCACTTTTGTTCCTCTTGAATCAGCTTCCTGAGTGCGCTACCGCACCACCATGCAAGTGGAAATGTCAGCATAAGAAAGGAGAAAGAAGACTGGAGGTTCTGATGCTGAAGGGGAAAAAGTAGGAAGCAGAACTTCCCCTTCCAGCACAGATACAAACTCCAATCAACTTAGCTTCATCTAGAAATGCATTGCTTTTGGCACCAGTCTCAGCTGTTATAAGCTGAGATCCTGTCCCTTCAGCTTCGTTGTATTGTTTAGTCATTCATTGATCTGGAACAGGACGCTCACAGGACATTCTGTGACTGTGACACTGAGGAAGGTCAAAAAATAGTGCAGCAAAAGAGAGATATGGGCTATTTTTAGTGTAGGTCAAACCTTCAGGCCAAATCTCCACAATGCTCAGAAGCAGATACATCAGAGCAAATCACAGAATAATAGAATCATAGAATGGTTTGGCTTGGGAGGGACCTTTAAGATCACCTACTTCCAACCCTCTGCTATAGGCAGGGACACCTCCCTCTAGACTACGTTGCTCAAAGCCCCATCCAGCCTGGCCTTGAAAATGAGACAGTGGGATTAATCTCCTGGGGATGGGGGGGGGATGCTGCTTAAGTCACCTGCACCACCAAAAGAAATGGTTGCCAAACTACCACCCAAAACACCTTGGAACACTGCCTGCTAAAAATACCATGTATTTCATGCAGCTGAACACTTTCAGAAGTGACACGATTTGTCCACTTTGCTTAAGTAAAGGACAAAAAAGAGTCCATTCTACAGTAATGTTGAGAGCTTGTAAGAGGTACCTGCATACACACAAATTCCACATCAGCCTTTCAAACTGCATGCACAAGTGGTGACTTTCAGGCAAATATATTTTTATGCAAACTTGTCCCTGCTTTACAAAATAAGCCACGTATTCTGAAATGGCTTTATGCTTGCTCCCTAAAGTGTCACAATTTACATGAGGTAAAAAGTAAAAACGCCCATTATCCTCTAAAAACAACATCGGCTTGACAGCTTGTACAGAATAAAGATGTCATTGCAGTCCAATAAACAAACAAATAAATAAATAAATACTGATCAGAATAACCACACAAGTTGTTAAAGACTATATTTTGTTTGAATATGGGAGATTCTGTTTAGGCAAATATGCAACTTCCCTCTATTATCTGAAAGGTCAATGGAAACAAAGTACCATATATCTAGCACACAGAACCACAGATTACATCAGGCATGTCCAACTCATGGCCCACAGGCTGCATGTGGTTCAGCATGGCTGGCAATGCAGCCTACCCCCTCCCCATGCTGTAAAGGCAGTGGCTCTACCCTGCAGAGCCCAATCAGTCAGTGAGCTATTAATGCTATGTTGACTGAAAGCAGGGCATGGGGAGGGCAGCACTGTGCAATGCTGACTCAAGCAATGGCAAATCATTGTATCTGTTTAGATACACTGGCTAAACACAGGGCACAGCAAAGAATACAGAGCTGTGCTTTCCATATTGATAAAGGAATTTGAAAACAGAATCACAGAATTATTGAATCCTTAGAGTTGGAAGGGACCTAAAGGCCACCCAGTTCAATTCTCCTGCAATAAGCAGGGACATCTACAGCTGATCAGGGTGCTCAGAGCCTGGTCCAGACTGGTCTGGAATGCCTCCAGGGACAATGAGGTGGGGATTTCCACCACCTCTCTGGGTAATCACAGAATCACAGAATTGTAGGGGTTGGAAGGGACCTCCAGAGATCATCGAGTCCAACCCCCCTGCCAAAGCAGGTTCCCTACAGCAGGTCGCACAGGTAGGCATCCAGGCAGGTCTGGAACATCTCCAGAGAAGGAGACTCCACCACCTCCCTGGGCAGGCCCTGTTTCAGTGCCTCAACATCCCTATTGTAAAAACCTTTCCCCTTATATCCAGCCTAAATCTCCCCTCTTTTAGTGTGATACCATTTCCTCATGTCCTATCAAACAGAATCTGACCCCTTCTTTCTTAGAGACTCCCTTCAAGTACTGAAAGGCCACTCTCAGATCATCTTGGAGCCTTCTCCAGGCTGAACAGCCCCAGCTCTCTCAGCCTGTCCTCAGAGGGAGGTGTTCCATTCCATGGATCATTACTATGGCCCTCCTCTGGACACTCTCAAACAGGTCCATGTCTCTCCTGCACTGAGGATTCCACATCTGGATGCAGTACTCCAAGTGAGGTCTCACCAGCACAGAGCAGAGGAGCACGATCACCTCCCTCACCCTGCTGGCTGCACTTCTTTTGATGCAGCTCAGGATACCAGTGACTTTCTGGACTGCAAGGGCACATTGCTGCCTCATGTCCAGCTTGCCATCCACCAGTACCCTCAAGCCCTGTCTGGCAGGACAGTGGTCTCCATGGAAATAAATGGGAGGCATTACTTTTGGTGTGACCTACATATATGCAGGCTCAATTTCAATTTCTATTCACTAAATGTAGCTGAGGCAAGCCAAAAGGTTGAACTCCCATGGATCAAATGAATTTCCTACAAGAATCAAGTAATGTGCCCCTGATGTAGAAATGTGTATTATCTCAAACTCAGCAAAAGATGATGAGTAGTACGAAGAGATGGCTACCAGTCATCTCCTTTAAACTGCCTCTGGTACCCATTAGATCCTTCTCCAAACCTATCAACTTCATCACTTCAGCAGAAAATCTTCCATTTGTATCATCCAGATGCTGGTGCAGAACACAGAAAGACCTTCCCCTTCTTCTGGCACTGGGACACCAGATGAGCTCTCTGTCTCATGGAACCATGTTATAAAATTGAGAACAATTCTCACAGGAGCTAAGCATCATCATTTAAACTTGCCATCCTCTTCTCCAACTAGGACACATGCTTCAGCTAGCTTTGACTAACCCCCAACTTCCAAAACACAAGAAACAGGAATTACAGCCCTACCTAAACTTCCCCAAGGAATTATACAACCAAAACAAAGCTACACTAGACACAGCATTCCCCCCTGTAAAGAGGAAAAGCGAGAGAAAGAAAAAATACTGCAATTGCCTTAGTAATTCTCAGATGCTACAACACTGAAAACCGTAAGAATTTATACAGAATAGATTTACCATGCAGCATGTCCCCAGCTGTTACATTTGAAATCAAGATTGAGAGGAACTGAAATTATTTGAAAATTCATCCTATCTACAGTACTAGACAGAGAACCAAGAGTGAATACTTCAAGCCAATAAATAAAAGTTTTCTGCTCCTATCTAATTTAAAGCAGCGCTAAAGATGAAAGCATGTATGCTGTATGGGAACTGCTGAATCACGGCCTGAACCTCTGATTGATCACCTGAGGCAAGCAATGAGTCAGCCAGAGGAGCACAGGTGAAGGCTCCCAGACCTATTTAAGAGCTGGCTACCAGTGGGGAAGGATCTCTTCTGGAGATTGGCTTTGCTGGAGTTTTGTGAGTGAGCCCAGGATAGGGGAAAGCCTTCTATTTATTCTCTTTTGCTATCATAGTCTGCTTTGTCAAACACTCTTGTTTATTTCATAATTATAACATCTTAATATTCATTGATTATACAGTATGCCCAGTATTCACACTTCCAAACTGCCTGTACATCTCTGGAAGTTCTTTGGCTGCAGTATGCAGACTCAGTATATAGGTTACAAAAAATGAAAAACAGGAATTAGCAGAAACAAGAGTTCAGTCTTCCTTCTGACTTACGCCAAATGTCAACCAATATTTTACAATGAAGACGACAGCAAGGCTTTACTTATAAGAACAAAAATGACAACAAATGAAGCAATTCTTAAGTTGGAACGTAAAAGCTCTGTAGTGACAACTTTGACGGTAAAGTTCCTAAGTGAAAGTGAGCTAAGCAATCATATGATGAGGCAGCTCTCTGAAGACCACTACACGTCCAAAAGGCACAGCTGAGCAGCTCGTCGCTTACTGAAAACACTTCTGTAACTTCATTGCTGTGGGGAAACTTTGGCAAGACAGATTTTGCAGTATAACTTCAAGATGGACACAGTAAGTTCATCTTCTATGTAAGCCTGCAGTATGCTAAAAATTAGCTTCTCTTGGGATTTTGGTTTTTACATCTTACTCTGTCCATTTTATTATTCAATGTCTCCTAAATATGATGAAAAATGTATGTACCTCTCCCATTTGCTGCTCAATAATTTGATGGGCCAGTTCCTCTATGGTTGCCATGACTGTTAATCACCAGAATTTCCTGTCAAAAAAAAAAAAAAAAAAAAAAAAAAGGAAAGAAGATGCTTAACATCTATAACCTTTCTAATAAAAAACACCTTTGGGAAAATAGAGTCCATATAAGTTAACTCACATTCATAATTGTCTGAAGGTGGCACCCCTGCAGAATTTGAAGCTTGATTAGACTATGAAAGCAATAAATTATTTTCTATTTGCAAACTTCTGTATCTTTGTATTCAACTCACATAAAGACTTTGTAGTTTTCCCTCACCATTCTAATGAAGAGCAACAAAATAATAAACTCCCTGAGAACAGAAGTGTATTATTGGCCCTGACATCGGCAGGGACATAATCAGCACCTTAAAACAGAAACCTAGCCGATTTTGTTGATGCAAATCAAGGGCAAAAAAACATAACTTCTTCTAAACACATACTGATCCATTTGTGCAAGTAGGAGTGCCTGAAGGTCAATGTTTCAATTAGCACTGGTATTGTAGTTACAGAGTAAGAAGTCCAAATCTTCACGAGAAGAACACTGCTGTAATGTAGCATTAAGTATTGAGATGCATGCCTTGTTTGTCTGGGCATCTATATACAAATATTCATTAGGCAGCATGTAAAAGGAACATACACAAATTATGAAGCACTATGCTTAATTTTCTGACACAAGTTGTTTTAAGAGCACTTTTTATACAAGGCAAGACAGTACTCTGACTTTAAAGGATTTGTCTATACACAATACTTACTTTATTTCAAATATAGAATATATTTGAAATATATAGCTTTTACATTGCAAAGTTAGTGTTAATAAAAGTAGTTATAGATGTAGAAAAGCTGTACGTATAACAAATACAATCAATTGATTTTTCCCCTTTAACTTTGCTAGAACTTCTAGGAACTATCTACTATCCCAGTAATCTCTAAACTTTCCCAATCAATTATGCAAATAAAAAACGTAATTCATTTTGAAGCCCATCCTGTTCTTACAACCGAAAACTGAGATATCTTTTGACTAAGGAAAGAACTGCAGTCTTTGGAAGTGTGCACTGTGCACTAAATGCTGACTGATGGAAAGGAAGAGTACAAAAATACTTGGGCCCACAGACAATTCTTAATCTCCCACTAGCATGCTGCACTGTTCATTAAATTAAATGAGAAGATTACAGATATACACATAAAACATCTAAGACTGAACCTTACGTTGAAAAGCATTCTCTCCTTGGAAAATCTAATCAGTAGAAGCATCTTTGCAGGAGTGCTCTATTAAATCACTCATGCATACAGTGAGCTGTAGAACAACCACTACGAAAGATTTTCAAGTCTGCTAATGTACTCTAACAGATGTTTTCTTAAGTAGAATCATAGAACGGCTTGGCAGGAAGGGACCTTTTTCAAGCCCACCCAGCTCCAACTCCCCTGCTGTGGGCAGGGCTGCCCCCCACCAGCTCAGACTGCCCAGGGCCCCATCCAGCCTGGTCATTAGCACTTCCAGGGAGGGGCAACCACAAATTCTCTGGGCAACCTGTTCCAACACCTCACCACCCTCTGAGTGAAGAATTTCCCCCTAACATCTAAGCTAGATCTCTTCTGGTTTAAAATTGTTCAATCTTTTCCCATCACATGTAAAAAGTTGGTCTCCCTCCAGTTTACTGGAAGGCCACAATGAGACCTCCCCAGAACCTTCTTCGGGCTGAACAAACCTCAGCCTTTCTTCATAGGAGAGTTAAAAAATTAAGAGCAAGTAAAATTCTGAAATGCTGATTTTGTAACTGACCCTGGTTTGAGTATGGGTTTTGGTTTGGACTAGAGATTTCCTGAGCTCTTCTGCCTGCACCCCCTGGTGCCAGCACTGGTGTAACTGTGACCTCATAGCCAGAAGCAGTTTTATGTTAGTTAGTGTTAGTTTTCAGCCCAATGAATGACTTAACTCATTACATTACCATAAAAACGCTACTGCTGCACCAGTGGTGGCTTGGAACTGTAGGATGACCCCTTTCCACAGCCACACAATTTACGTCCACTTAGGCCATCTGAAGTCTCCCATGCATTCCCACAGTTCTATAAACTGTTGTAAGATGAGCCTTGGAGTTTAGACACACTTATTTTGGAATCTTATGGATGAACCTGGTGAAGAAACAAGAAAAAGAGGATGAAAAAAATCAACAAGCAGCCCCAAGGACAAAACAGGCAACATATATGACCATGAAGTGGTCTTGCAGACTTCTGGTCCACATGCTGAAGCACTGTACAATCAGGAGGCTGATAGGGAGCTATCTTCTTGCTCCACTTCTTATTTCCAGGAAGAGTAAAATTTTATAATTATAAGAACTATAATAGCTAAAGCTGTTCTGAAAAGCAAGGCAAGGAAAGCAATGCAGTTATGAAGTGTCAGACACATCAGCTTATTTATAGCTGAACCTAGTATTTTGACAATGAAATACTCTTCTGCAAAGACTTTTGAAAATCACTTAGTACAAGATTTTATTCCTTCCGTTAATAGGTATTAATCTTTTCAAGTCCTAACACAGAACTAAACGTTGTCTTGTCTTTCCTTGGAACCTAAGTTTGGTTCCACATTTTTGCAGGTTCAGTATTATCACAAACATCCGTTCAGTTTACAGCATTAAGGCGCTGTTGTCCTGTAGCACACACATGCAGAATAAAAGTCTATTTTATGAAGACTAGAATTACCAGATTAAATCATAAACAACACTTATTTAATCATTTAGTGCACTGCAGACTTCAGTTGACCATGCTCACTGCCTTCACCTAGACAAAACATACCATACTTAAAATGGTGAGAAATTATGTATGAGAAGCCTGTCATCTTAGTTCAAAGGGGAATATAACTATTAAACACAACAGTAACTTTATCAGATGATCATCAATTATTCATTCTAAGAGTTTTTTTTCACTCTATGATACAGAAATCATCTCAGGTAGCTACAATCATTATATCCCTCCCTTTTCAATTTTTTGAATCAATTGTAATTTCTTCATTTACTGCGTATTCCTATTTTAACAGGGCTACCTGAATGTAATCAATTTTTACCTCACTTCTTACTTTTCAATAATGATTGCCTCCTTCATCTACTTCCAGAAAGTTTGCTGAAGCAATTCCAGGGCAGACTCCCAAACAAGCCAAACACTGGAGTTCTTCCATAAACTTGAGTCTGGAATTTCACAAGGACAAAAAATCCAAAGTGCAGAAATTATTTAAATTTATACACATGATATCATCAAGGACAAATAGAAAATCCTTCACTTGGCAAAGAATTTGAGGTCATCTGCTACATTCCCCGGGCCCTTTCTAGTACACATTAGTATATTATGCACTTCTGTAGCACAGCTTAAGTACTGTTCGCCTGCTAACATTTGGCTTGAGAAATACAGGACAGCTGAATCTCTCCTGAAACATTGTCTCCTGGAGAGAAAAATGGATCTGAATGTTAACAGGAAAGTTTATCAGACCCCAAAGCCATAACCGATTTGCTCAAACTGAATGGTCAGATCACTGTTTATACTGAGTTTTCTGATGATTCCAAGGCTCAGCAGAAGTCCAGGGAAGCTGTAACACTGTGCAAGAACTGTGCTTTCATGGCTAATGTGCTCCATGGACTTACAAGCATCTCTCTCTGCTGTAGCAGGGATGGGCTCTGTAAGCAGAGCCCAGCAGCTGCTCCATTTCAGATCAGAGCCAACTCCAGATGCTCCAAAAGGGTCCCACAGACGCCAGAGCTGAGCCAAGAGCTACGCAGATATAAGGAAGGAAAAAACTGCTGCATCACAGCAGCTGGGAGAGAGGAGTGAGAAAATGTGAGAGAAGCAGCCCTGCAGCCATCAAGGTCAGCGCAGGAGGAGGACAGAATGTGCTCCAGGCATGGAGCAGAAGCTCCCTGCAGCACAGGAGAGGCCCATGGAGGAGCCGGGCATCCTCTTGCAGCCTACAGGTTCCACACAGAGCAGACCTCCACATGCAGCCACGGAGGAGCCCACGGTGCAGCAGCGGATGAGGCCTGGAGGAGCCATAGCACATGGGGAGCCCCAGCAGAAGCAGCCCCTGGATGAAGCTGTAGCCCATGGGCAGAAGCCTTTGGTGGGGCAGGAGGGCTGGGAGAGCTGCTGCTGATGGGGACCCATGTGGGGCAGTACCTAAAGGGTGGGCCCTGTGGTACAGAGCTGTGCCGGGGCAGTGCTTGGACAGCTGCAGCCTGCAGGAAGGCCACACAGGATCAGTTTGGGAAGGATGGAGGGATCCCACGTGGAGGAGGGGCAGAGAGAAACCATGGAGGAGCAGCAGAGACAAAGCATTACAGACTGACTGCAGCCCCGCTCCCAGCTCTCCTGTGCCACTGACAGGGCAGGGAAGTACCAGAGGTAGGGGAGGTGGTGTTTTCAGTCGGCTTTCAGTTCTCACTCTTCTAGTCTGTTTTGCTAGTGACAGTAACTAGTGACTGATGTCCCTGTCCTTACCTTAACACATGACATTGTTTCACATTTTCTCCCCGTCCTTCTGAGGAAGAGGAGTGTGAGAGCAGAATGATGGTGCTTACCTACCTACTGGTGTTAAATGACAACATCCACATACTCCGATAAAGAAGTTTTATTATTGAGATATGTATGTTCAGGTTGATATGTACTCGTGAGAGAAACTTCCATTAGTGTTACAGACTGTGTTTGAAGCTTGAAGGGGTTATCTGTATTCTGAAAAAGATGTCTTTGCTGTAACGAACTCTTTGAAAGGGTGATGGGAGTTCATACCAATTTCCTTTTGTGTACTGAGTTCCAAGAATTTGATGCATCTGATGAACAAAGATAATGATTTGTTGTGTGTATCTCTATCTGAACAGCAAACGTGAAGCACAGATTTTGTGTTTTCAGTCAAGCTGCCAAACACCAACAGCAAGACAAGGATTTGTACCAGCAAAATTCTGCACCTGTGCAACACTGTCTGTCCTTTTTGTGACAGAGATAAATTGTTGTGCATGTAGCCATTTTTACATTATTCAGCATTACCAAACAGAGCTAATAAAATATTGAAAGCATTCAGCACTCTCAAATCCAGAATTGGCCATAGGCTTCTTTCATTCTGGATGCTAGGAGCGTAACTGTACCATTTTACTCAGAGCACTGGAAGAGGTTCTCTGAAAGATATTCCCTGCCTTATCGTATTATTTTTGTAGGAATTCAAAATTAGAGAAAAAAAAGCAGGAAGGAAAAATTCATTGCTACAGGCATCAAGTAGAGTGGCTGGAAAGTTGTGCAGCTGGAAAGAATCTGGGGGTGCTGGTCAACAGCTGGCTGAACGTAAGCCAGCAGGGTGCCCAGGTGGCCAAGGCCAATGGCATCCCAGTTTGTATCAGAAATACAATCAGCTGATTGTATCTCTGTACTCTGTGCTGGAGAGGCTGCACCTTGAGTGCTGTGTTCAGTTTTGGGCCCCTCATTACAAGGACACCGAGGCACCAGAATGTGTCCAAAGAAGGGCAACAAAGCTGTGAGAGGTCTGGAGCACAGGCCTGATGGGGAGCAGCTGAGGGAAATGGGATGGTTCAGTCTGGAGAAGTGTAGGGTAGACTTAATTACCCTCTACAGTGACCTGAAAGGAGTTGCAGTGAGTGAGGTGAGGATCAGCCTCAACTCCCAGTCAACTAGTGATGGGACACAAGGCAACCGCCTCAGGTTGTGCCAAGGGAGATAAAGGTTGGATACTAGGAAAAGTTTCTTCTCTGAAACAGCAGCTGGGCACTGGCACAGGCTGCCCAGGGAGGTGGTGGTCATCATCCCTGGAGGTATTCAAGAATCACGTGGATGTGGCACTGAGGGACATGGTCAGTGGGCATGGTAAGGATGGGCTGACTGTGCAACTCGGTGATCTCAGAAGTCTTCTCCAATTTTAATGCCTGCGTTATTTTTGAACTTTCTTGATGAAACGAGCCCCTAAACAAAGCCAAGACCATTTAAAATTGATAAATGCTAGTATCTCCTTCTGGAGATCTTATTTTTTAAAGATGGTCACTTCTTAAGATTGATGTACATCAGGCCTGACCTATGAAGTTAGGCTGATGATGAGGATACAACCTTATTCTGGCTTTACATCAGCAGGTAGAGTACCTGCCGCACACAAGAACAACCTGCAACCTCCTTAGTAACCATCATCTCAGTCCCACTGCAGCTGTTTCCAACAAAGCATCAATTCAACTTAGAAGAAAGCAACCAGTCTAAAACACTTAGTACTCATAAGCAGAGACAGTATAGCTTGGAATGCCTCACTGAATTAACCCTCCCTCTCCTCACAAGTGCACATGTGGATGAGCATCTTCTGAATTCGCTGCTCAATAACCAAGCAGCAGCACATTTTTCTCAAGTTTGTCTTTACTGTTTGTGTTAGAACACCACACAGCCACCAATAACACTCAACAACTACTCAGCTGTACACTGGCCATCTCCATATTATAGCTGGGAGCTACGAGCACTGATTTTTTCAGGAGTTATGCTGATGCCCTTGCTTAGGAAGCAGTCCTTGAAGTAAAGAACAGAATCTTAATTTTGGCCTGAGGACAAGGAATTTCCATAGACTTTAAGAAAAAATGGTGCGACTTGCTGTCTCTGACATTTGCAAATGTCATACTCAACTACATCCTAAAATACAGGCTAATGAAAATTGGGTTCTTCCCTTGTTTACCTGATGTGACAGAAGTTAAGCTAAGATTCATATCAGTGCATAACCTCACGCCCTTGAAAACATCCTTCCTTTGTAATCAGCATGACTTCTAATTACAGCCTAATTTTGGCTGCCAAGGCTAAAAGCCCAACCATACCCTAGGGGCACCAGGTCCAGCACTACACACTGGGTGAGGGGAGGGGCTGCCCTGCTCAGCATGGAGCTGCATGAGGGAGGGTCAGGCAAGGTCCCTGACCACAGGGCACAGAACAGGCTCCCCCGGGCAGTGGGCACAGCCACAAGCTGTTGTTCAACAAGAGTTAGGACAGCTCTCTCAGACACAGGGCTTGAATTCCGGGTGATGTGGTGCAGAGCCAGGGCTGGACTCGCGATCCTTGTGGGCACCTTCCAACTCAGGATACACTATGATTTTACGATAATTCTTGCTTCTTTACATCAGACTTAGAATTCTTGCCCTCACTCTTCAGAGCCCTCTAGGTCTAAAAAGTGATCAGAAAATCTCTGCCCCATAACCATGTAGTCAATGACACCACTGTTGTCGCTTAAGCTCCCAAATGGTTCCCATTCATAGCTTTCTGCAGGTCTACAGTTAAGATCAGAAACACTCTTTGTAAAACCTCCATGAAACATTCCTTTAGTTTTTCTTAAAGGAGACACGTTGCCTAAGGAAAACTGACATTCAGACTGTCAACACGATTAGATCACTGCCTCACTCCAACTGCTCAATGCTTTCTCTTTGTACCTTAATGCTCCCAGTGTGTGTGATGATCTGTTTGCATAGTTTGTCATTAGTAGTAAATTTCCAAGGCCAGAAAAAACATTTTCTTCATACATAACCAAACACACAAAAGGCTGTTTTTCTATTAATGTAGGTACAGAGATAGACAACTATTAGCATCCATATTTGTAGTGATTAGATCTACTTTACATTTGTATCATCTTTGCATTTGCTTTCTAAACTATTTCTGCAGTGCTTGACAATATTATTTGCCATATAATTAAATAAAAAAACTTCCAAAAAAAAAAAGAAAAAAAACCTATGAAAGAGAAACCATCCCATGGGGAGGTCAAATCATATATCCATCAGTTTTCTTCTAAAACCTCAGTCCCTCAGCCCCGATTATTAGAAGCATCATCTAAAAGCAGACATTTTAACAGCAGACAGGCATCAGACCTCTGAGGCCCATAAATGAAATGCAACTTTAATCACTTTATGTGACTAAATACTAAAAAATATACATATATTAGTTTATGGTCCGTCAGATAATCATTCCACAGTGTCAGCTGAAGATTTTCATGAGCTTGCCTGAATTTCAACCACCACTCTTCTCTCCTTCTTCTTCTGCTTGTATGTGCTGGAGCTTTCCCAATATTTTATTCAAACTAACTTAGGAAATAATAATTTCAATGGTTTGCATTTGGCTTACTTCCACAGAAGTGGGTTAAGAAACACTCCCCTGAGAACTGCCAGCAGATGAGACAGCCCCTAATTCCTCTGCTGGTACAGCCATACCCAGGGAGACAGCAAGGGGTAACCCATACCCTTCTCCAGGGACAGAAGTTACAAGATCTTAACCATCTCAGTAGGAAGTTTCCTACTAATACTATGCCAAAATATTGTGTATTGTAGACTAAGAACTTCAAAAGCAATTGCAGAAAATGTCTGATGTTTGGACTTTCCACGATATTAATGGTAACATCAGTTGTTTCTCTATATTACATTGCACTGCTGGTATAATTGCTTTATTCTATAACATCTCAATTCTGATTTAACACCCTTTAGATGAATGAAAACAGACTGCATCAGTATGAAGACACAGTATGTGAACAGTCCCTCTGCCCTGGAGATCTGTAGGTTACTTAAAAAAAAAAAAAAAAAAAGTCAAACCTGACCCAAAATAAGTTTCACTACTGCAAAAACAATGCTTGTAGAACTTGAATAATTTAACATATTCTCTTGGCACTGTCTAGTTTGATTCTATATTTATCTTATTTATGCGCATAATATATAAACATTTACATATATAATGCATATGATTCCAGGAATGGCTCCATGCACGTATGGAATGTGTGTTAATACAGCTTTCTTCTAGATCAAACCCACCTGAGGAAGGTATGCCTGCAGAAGATTAGATGCACGTTTAAGTTAACAGAGAACACCACTGTGGTTGCTTTTGAGATACTGGCATGTTAACTGGTTGTGACCACAGAAGTTATTGTGAACTTTACTTTCTGGTCTTACATGAAGAAGTAGAAGAGCGGCAACGTGACATGAAAGGTTAGTATAATGAAAAGCTGGCTAGAAAATAATTCCCTCTTAGAAGAAATGAACTTAATCTCCTTCCATAGTCATATTACTTCAGCAATAAGAGATTTCAACAAATCTCGGTAAATGAACTAAGGATGTGCTATTTCGGTTCATGTCATCATATCTGGGGCTTACAGCTGATCCGTACCTTAAAATGAAAACTAATCCTCACTTCCATTCCCAAAGTCATCATATGATGATTAAGAATTTAGCATAACCAATGCTGAACTTGTTTCACAAAAACCCACACGCAGAATGCAAAGCACTCAGAAATCCCTCTGTGATTAACTGTAGAAGTCAGGAGGTTTGGTTACCTGTTTTAAACAGATTTCTTTACACTTCGGAACAGCATTCTGCAATGCTTTACAAATCATCAATTAAGCCAAGGAATCCAACACATCTGTCAGGCGTGCGACACTGCTCATTGTTTTCTATGTAGGAAGCTCAATGAACACAGAAACTAAACGAGCTATTCTTAGATTATCTTTCTAGAAGCCGTAACACTCAAGATGGTAGAACAGTTACAGACTCAAAGGAGTAGCAGCCTCTTTATCCCCGAGCTAAGGAATATTTATGTGACTCATGACACCCAGTCAGAGAGCGTTTATTGAATCTGCATGGCATCAAGATTTAGAACATACACATGTAAGAGACCAATAACCACAGGAAACGAGCAGCTAAACCTGCAGGCAAGGGAAGATGAGGCACTCACAAAGCGCAAAGGAATAATTACAAGGCACACTGCAATAGAGTAAAAGATGCACTGGCAGCCAAGCCTGTGTAATTCATTTAAAATCATTGCTCTCAAAGCTTTAAAACTGCTACGTTTAATTTTTCATGGAAGCAAAGCGTTACAGTGGGAGGAATGGTGAAGCAACAACCATGCAAACGTGACAAGACAGCAGTCATTCTCAGTTTGGGCCACCAAAGGGGATGGTCTCACAACTACCCTGTTGTGGAGCTCCTACTGTGTGTTTGGTTCAGCACAGCAGCCCCACAAGGCCTTGGAGCAGTATAGAGGAGGAGAGGCACAGGGGATTGTCTGCAAAATGAACCAGGTCACACAGGCACTGACTACTGGCCAAAGCCAGGTAAGGAGACAGACTCCTATTAACCAGGCCAAAATGTCCTGCATGTCTTCTGCCTTTGACTGCTTGAAGCTGGCAAAACTGTGCTGTTGAAAGAAGTAAAACAAGAACAATATGGTTCCCTAAACCAGAGCTGAAGCTACTAAACAAACCAGATCAGGAAGTTCACCTGGCTAAGCACTTCCTCCTCCACTCCTTTTCTCCTCTATTCTGGGTTACTTTTGGCCAGGTCAGTTCCTCTACCTGGCACACTGTACTAACACCTAGCAAGCGCAAACCCTGCTTTCCAAGCACAGGCAGGCACTACACCCACTGCAAACAACATGGCTGCAGCACCTCATCAAGTGGGACAGCCACATTGCAGCTGAGGGTCTTTTCTCCCTTCTGCACTCAACCTTGCAGCTGTGTAACAGTGAGGTAAGCTGAACTGAATTTACTCACCCTGCAGCAAGCAGCTACTAAGTGTGACTCAAAGAAAGCTGAAGACAACTCTTTTGGAAAAAGCCCATATTGTTGCAGCAGCTTGCACAATAAATATCAATCCTCTTATTTCAAAGGATATAAGGATATTTGTGTGCACATCCAGCTTTTTTTTTTTTCCTCCTTTATCAGCTTTGCAGTATCACAGGGTTTGGTTCTGTTAGCAGACCTTTAGGTTCCTGTAAGCATGTAAGTGAGGCACTC